GTTCTCGTGCCACCTTCGTTCTCCAGCCATAACTAACTGGAACTGACGTCTAGTCCACGTCTCACACTAGCTCCACCACACCGACCTGCTCTCCACCGCTCACCGGTCCCTGGAACCTGGATCCCTCCTCTTGTGACCTTCCTGTGTCTGCTCCTCCCCCTCTCCAGCCTGTCCTCCACCTCAGACCTGACCTCTCCTCTCCAGCCTGTCTTCCACCTCAGACCTGACCTCTCCTCTCCAGCCTGTCCTCCACCTCAGACCTGACCTCTCCTCTCCAGCCTGTCCTCCACCTCAGACCTGACCTCTCCTCTCCAGCCTGTCTTCCACCTCAGACCTGACCTCTCCTCTCCAGCCTGTCCTCCACCTCAGACCTGACCTCTCCTCTCCAGCCTGTCCTCCACCTCAGACCTGACCTCTCCTCTCCAGCCTGTCCTCCACCTCAGACCTGACCTCTCCTCTCCAGCCTGTCCTCCACCTCAGACCTGACCTCTCCTCTCCAGCCTGTCCTCCACTTCGTGAACCAGAAGCTTCCAGCTCCTGCTCATCCATCCCGTATTCCTTGCGGTCTGGTCTCTGTGGTCAGACTCCGTCTTGAGCGCGACACCCAGCCACAACAGCTGGCCTCACTTTGACGGTCCAACCTTAGTTCTTGCTAAACAAACATTGTTTATTTTTGACTTTGGTCTTCTGCAGCTCAGAAAGCCCAACCCACAGCAGGCCTGAGGTCAGCTCAGCGTTTCTCTGAGACTGGGCTGATTTTATTACCTGTTTCTATTTAAACATTCATTTAAAAGCCTCTAAGATGTGGAACGCTGAAAACCCAGCTTCTCAGCCTCGGTGAAGCTAGCTGGACATGCACTCGTGGTTCACTAGGGTTAGAGTTCACTACAGCGGAGGGTTTTTGTGCCATGGAGAAGGTCTAAAGCTTCCAGTTTATTTCATTCAATTCTTCAGAATCAGTTCTCAGTTGTGTCACTGAACTAGACCAATGAGACGCCAGATTTTAACTTTGCCCCCCACCCGCCTTTTGTTGCTCTGTGTTGGGCGTCTGGTGCCACCCTGGAGGGGGGTATGTCCTGCTTGTTTCCCGGTAACCGCGGTAACATCTGTTTAGGCTCACCTGGGTGCCTGAACCGTCCACCACCCCACCATGACACAACTTCATCGGTGCTGCTCCTCGTGCCGGGGCAGTGTTTCTGAGACAAAGACAAGAACTGGACAGCAAGGACTGCTGACTGAAGCAACAAGAGCTACTTAAGATGAGGTCACTGCTGCTTCTGCAGGGTCTGACCGAGGTCGTTTCACCCTGAGACGGTTTCAGTTGTCGGCAAAAAGCTGCACGCCTGACATGAGGAAAGAGCAAACAAGTGGCACTCCAACATGAAAGGGACACGAGACAACCTGAAGACCGCAGTAGTACAGGAGGCTTGCATGAGGTTATGGTGAAGCCCCTGAGGTGAGCCAGCATTTAATGGGTTTTATCGTCATGGTAACAAACTGAAACCTGCATTTGTTTCTGACTGGCTGCAGCAGCGGGAGACCTTCGTGATCTTCAGGACGACGAGTATGGAAGCAAGGGGGCAGAGCTCCTGGCCCTGTCTGGATGCTGAAGAAAAGGCTAAACAGCGTTTGCACCTTCCTCACGTGAACGTTGTAGTGGAAAGGAGGACATTTTTGTAGTTCTCTTCAGAAGCCCAGCCACTCAGAGTAACTAGCTTCTGAAAGCAGGACACGAGTCGTCTTACATCTATCTACCTTTGATCATGTGGTTATCTGCATGAGATTGCTGCAGCTCATTAATCCCACTTCCTGTTGAACTGATGAACAAACACCTGAGATTAGAATATGAATAATGAGTTTATTGTTTATCCAACAGTGTTCCAGAAACAAGCCAGTGTGACCATGCTGTTGCTGTTCGACAGGAGGCCTCTAGGTGTCAGTATGAGGCTGTAGCTGAAATGCATCCTGGGAGACGTAGTTCTGTGGGCGCAGCTGCTCCTCCAACCTCCATGAGCTGCTGAATTCACATTTAATGAGGGTAAATGTTTATTTTCTTCCATTACCGAATGGGTCGGTGGTGAGGCTGCCTGCCTTCTCATCTCCTCTCTGAAGGTCAGATCCCAGGTTTGCTGTCAGACAGGTGGATAGGAAACAGCGCTGGGGGGTGAGGAGCCTGAAGCCAAGACAGCAAGGAAGAGAAAGATAAGGATGATGATGTCATGTGACTTAGAGTATCAAGAACAGCGTAGAACCGAAAGGTTCCACTTTCATGTTAGACTGCAGAAGACCAGGGCCCTCATTCCTCAAACATGGGTAGAGACTGTCCTACAGATGTGGACAAAAGTGTTGCTACCCTTCGGTCAGTGAAAGTAAAACCTAAATAAATACATGATTTATTCTGGTAATGCTCCACTGATGGCTCTGGGTCGTAGGGCGGGTTCTGCCCATGCCTTTCAAATGATCTCCGCGTGCTGCTGGACAACGAACAACGTGATGGACTCACCGCAACGGATGTCGTAAAGGAGGCGGTCCGATGTTTAACCCTAACCCTAGCATAACAAGTCATGGGTTTGATTCCAGCTACCACCAGGGGTATTCTGCTGTTGTGTCCTTGGGCAAGACACTTCACCCAGCTTGCCTGTGTTAGTGGTGGTCAGAGGGGTTGATGGCACCAAATGGCAGCCTCACCTCTGTCAGACCGCCCCAGGGCGGCTGTAGCTACAAAGTAGCTCACCATCACTAGCAGTGTGTGAAAGTGTCTTTATTATTACTATTATTATTATTATTATTACTATTATTATTATTATTATTACTATTATTATTATTATTGTTATTATTATTATTACTATTACTATTATTATTATTATTATTATTACTATTATTATTATTCTTATGACTATTATATTATTATTATTATTATATTATTATTATTATTACTATTATTTTATTATCATTATTACTATTATTATTATATTATTATTATTATTATATTATTATTACTATTATTGCTATATTATTATCATTACTATTACTATTATTATTATTATTATTATTATTCATTTTCACCACATTTGATTACAAGTCCAGTCGGTTTAATTGTTAAATGTCTTCACCGATGAAACAAGTTCTAGTTTAGCTACGTTTTAGTGGAGAAAAGCCTTTTAGTTCAGTGCTGATGTTCGGAGCACATCACTCAGTTTCACATCTTTTATTTGAGCTAGTTTAGTCCTCATAACGAACAAGAAGTTCTGTGGATTTGGAAATATTTGCTGATGACTGCCAAAGGGAAACACAATATTTCAGGGGAACATAATTTCCCACAACACCCGTTTCACGTGGATCCCGATGCCTCGATGTAAACAAACTGGCTGCCGCTACCAGCTTATATGGATATATCACTGGTTGTTCGTTAACCACGGCTGGTTCAGGACTGCTGGTGAGCCGGGGACACGCTGGAGATCAAGTAAACAATGCTGACTTATCCACCAGCTAATCGTTAAACACGGCTGGCGTGGTGGAGATGGGCGTCACGAGCTGCTAGTTGAAGAAGAAGGAAAGATCATTTCTGTAGCGCCTCTCTAGATAAAAATGACGAGGTGCTTCACAAAAACGAAAAATGTAAAAATATAGAAAAGAATTTAGAAAATGTTCAAAAATATATTTAAAATGAGCAAAAAATAGACAATTGTGATTAAAAATGTAAAGCAAGAGAGAGAGTGACTACGAAAGAGGGAAGTTAGCCATGGCTAGAGCCGGGGAGACGCTGTGTGTAAACTCCCACGGATCACCAGCAAAAGGAGACCCAAGTCTAAAGGTAACGTTTGAGAAGAAGCCCTCTGAGTCGGAGCGTCTCAGTAACGCGTGGAGAACTACATCGCTGTTAGTAAAGCGTTGTGGAGATAAAGTAAACAACGCTGCTTTAGCCACTGGCTAGCAGACGAGCGCTGGAGCGTGTTGGGAGAGACGGCAGGCTGCAGGAAGAGAGGAGACTTGAGTAGAAGGACTTTGGAACGGACACGCTGGGACTGGGTCAGGAGTTCTGGTACTGACACGCTGGGACTGGGTCGGGGGTCCTGGTACTGACACGCTGGGACCGGGTCGGGAGTTCTGGTACTGACACGCTGGGACCGGGTCGGGAGTTCTGGTACTGACACACTGGGACTGGGTCGGGAGTTCTGGTGCTGACACGTTGTGACCGGATCAGGAGTTCTGGTACTGACACACTGGGACCGGGTCGGGGGTCCTGGTGCTGACACGCTGGGACCGGGTCAGGAGTTCTGGTACTGACACGCTGGGACCGGGTCGGGAGTTCTGGTACTGACACGCTGGGACCGGGTCGGAAGTTCTGGTACTAGGAAAAGACGGATGAACAACTTGAGGTGAGTTTGAGAGTCAGACGCTAATCTGAGGCTGGTGAACAGCTAACAGGGGGCGGGGTCTGAACATGTGCAGCTTCCTGGTGTCGGACATGATGAGGAACTGACACATTTTATGTTTTCTGATTTAATTGTTTTTTATTCAAACTAACAAGAACAGCAGCGGTGTCGCTCTTCTTTTCTGTTTCTTAGTTGAATTAGCAGACTCCAGGCTTCCAGGGCGCACTGCTGCCCTCTGCTGGTTCTGTCAGGTTACAGTCATGGTCCAAACGGTAACGTGGAGCTCGTATGTCCCTAAACAGCTACTGTATTTTAAGATGGTGGATGACCATGGAGCCTCGACGACAGTCTATGTATTTAAAAATGTATCATTTCAAGTTGAGAGGGATATTTAGAGTTGATGTTGGACGGTCTTCGGTCAGGCTGAAGACAGCACCACAGCACAGAGACGGCACTGATCAGGTATTAAACGACATTCGTCTCAACACTGATTCAGGTGAAGCATCTGTCCTGATGATGCTTGACCTCAGTGCAGCTTTTGATACTGTGGACCACGACATCCTTCTGGACAGACTCACACTGGGTGGGACTACCAGGCACAGTGCTGGGCTGGTTCCAGTCCTATCTCACAGACTGGGGCTATGTTGTCTCTAGTAGGGACTACCAATCAAAGCTGATCACCATGACATGTGGGGTCCCCCAAGGCTCAACTCTAGGACCACTACTCTTTAATCTCTATATGCTCCCCGTGGGTCAGGTCATGCTTAATGACATCACCTATCATAGCTATGCTGATGACACCCAGATCTACCTAGCCCTATCACCTAGTGACTGTCGTCCACAGGACTCACTCTGTCAGTGCCTAGAACACGTAAACGAGTGGATGCAGTCAAACGTCCTTCAGCTAAACAAAGACAAGACTGAAGTTATTGTCTCTGGCAACAAGAAGGTTAGGATGGATGTTATTGGTCAGCTGGACTCCAGGGGAATGAAGACAGAGACCAGGTTAGAAATCTTGGTGTTATCATTGACTCAGACCTGAGCTTCTCTGGACACATTAAGGCTTTAACTACATCAGCGTTTTATCACCTTCATCAACCATCAAGAGTCAGAGGTCTCATGTCCAGACCAGACTTAGAGAAACTCATTCATGTGTTCATCTCCAGCAGGCTGGACTACTGCAATGGTCTCCTAACTGGCCTTCCCAAAAGCTGTGATGCAACAGCAGCGTGTTCAGAACGCTGCTGCTGGAGTCTTAACAAGAACCAGGAGAACGGAGCACATCACTCCTGTTCTTAGATCCCTTCACTGGTTACCAGTAAACCACAGCATAGACTCAAAGTGCTCCTACTGGTTTATAAACCACTCAGTGGCATGGAGCCAAAATACTGGTATCTACACCCCACAGGGCTCTGAGATCCCTGGGAACCAATCAGCTGGTAGAACCTCGGGTCAGAACCAAACATGGTGGAGATGCATTTAGCTACTATGCTGCTCACATACGGAATCAGCTTCCCCTTGACCTCAGACCTGCCCCAACCCTAAAACCCTCATGTACTCATCAGCCTTTACATGAACTGTTTAATGCTGCATCATATCCTCTGTAATCTGTAATCTGTAATCTGATGTAACGCCGTCTTCTCCATTAGCCCTAAACTGTAATTCTGTCTGTGGATTTTCGTTCGTGTTTTTGTTGTTTTCCGTTCAACTGGCACGGACATCGATACGAAGTCAAACTGCTTCTCTCTCTGATTGGTTCTTTTCTTGTCTGCCGATGAAAACGTCGACCAACGTTTGTCACAATTTAGTTTTTATACAAGTGATCGTTTTTGGCTTTAGTTTAGTTTTGTCTGCAAAAATGCATCCGTCACCAAAAACACGAGAAAACTACCACTGGTGTTAAATCGTTCCTACGTAGGAAACGTGGGTGAAAGTACGACTGACGGACGAGGACCCGGGACTTTACCCACCACCCCTAGTTCACAAGGGTTCCCTTGAACCAGAACCAGGCCTTTGATCCTGATCCCGTGTTTTTCCAGAACTAGTTTCTGAACAGCAGAATTTTTACTTCAGTTTGTAGGTTTAAACTTTGAGAATGAATACCAAACAGAGTTTTCTAGACGGAGTTGATGAGAAGAGTCCACGTGGCTCTTATTGCAAATCTCGCAGGATAATTTAAAAAATTAAGTTAATTTTTTGTTTAAATGGAATCTTTTCAAAATCAAATGTTGTCCTCTACGTTTCATAACTTGAGACGGTTTTTAACGTTGGCTAAGGGCAAAACACGGGTCAATCAAGCTCTCTGATTGGCTAGGGTTAGACAGAAAGAGAGGGCAAGGAGACGGTAACCATGACAACCTTACTGGTCACGGGGTGAGAAGAACTGACCTGACAAACCCAATGTCGGTTTGGTTCGGATGACGGTCCGACCTGCAACATAAACCAGAAGATCGGGATGACTCGGACCTCAGAACAGTTTGAACACCTAACCTGAATAAAGTCAGTTAACTAACCCTAACTAACAGTTAACAGAGTTAACTAACCCTAACTAACAGTTAACAGAGTTAACTAACACTAACTAACAGTTAACAGAGTTAACTAACCCTAACTAACAGTTAACAGAGTTAACTAACCCTAACTAACAGTTAACAGAGTTAACTAACCCTAACTAACAGTTAACAGTTAACTCAACCATAATCTTGGTCGACCACTTGTTGGGTTGGTGTTTTATCTCGTTGACTTAATTCTGCACAGAGAGAGAGTCTCAAAGACATCTGAGTCATGTAGAACAGAGGAAAGAGCCGCAGCGAACGCCACCGCTGTCTTCGTTGTTTATGACAAACCGAGCGTCGCTGCGTGTGGCGTACGCGTCGCTGCGTGTGGCGTCCGCGTCGCTGCGTGTGGCGTCCGCGTCGCTGTGTGTGACGTCTGCGTCGCTGTGTGTGACGTCTGCGTCGCTGTGTGTGGCGTCCGCGTCGCTGTGTGTGGCGTCCGCGTCGCTGTGTGTGACGTCCGCGTCGCTGTGTGTGGCGTCCGCGTCGCTGCGTGTGACGTCTGAGTCGCTGCGTGTGGCGTCTGCGTCGCTGTGTGTGGCGTCCGCGTCGCTGCGTGTGACGTCTGCGTCGCTGTGTGTGGCGTCCGCGTCGCTGTGTGTGGCGTCCGCGTCGCTGCGTGTGGCGTCTGCGTCGCTGTGTGTGGCGTCCGCGTCGCTGCGTGTGACGTCTGCGTCGCTGTGTGTGACGTCCGCGTCGCTGCGTGTGACGTCTGCGTCGCTGTGTGTGGCGTCCGCGTCGCTGTGTGTGGCGTCCGCGTCGCTGTGTGTGGCGTCCGCGTCGCTGTGTGTGGCGTCCGCGTCGCTGCGTGTGACGTCCGCGTCGCTGCGTGTGGCGTCCGCGTCGCTGCGTGTGACGTCTGCGTCGCTGTGTGTGGCGTCCGCGTCGCTGTGTGTGGCGTCCGCGTCGCTGTGTGTGGCGTCCGCGTCGCTGTGTGTGGCGTCCGCGTCGCTGTGTGTGACGTCCGCGTCGCTGCGTGTGGCGTCCGCGTCGCTGCGTGTGGCGTCCGCGTCGCTGTGTGTGACGTCCGCGTCGCTGCGTGTGACGTCTGCGTCGCTGCGTGTGACGTCTGCGTCGCTGTGTGTGACGTCTGCGTCGCTGTGTGTGGCGTCCGCGTCGCTGTGTGTGACGTCCGCGTCGCTGCGTGTGACGTCTGCGTCGCTGCGTGTGACGTCTGCGTCGCTGTGTGTGGCGTCCGCGTCGCTGTGTGTGGCGTCCGCGTCGCTGTGTGTGACGTCCTCGTCGCTGTGTGTGACGTCCGCGTCGCTGCGTGTGACGTCCGCGTCGCTGTGTGTGACGTCCACGTCGCTGTGTGTGACGTCCGCGTCGCTGTGTGTGGCGTCCGCGTCGCTGCGTGTGACGTCCACGTCGCTGTGTGTGGCGTCCGCGTCGCTGCGTGTGACGTCCGCGTCGCTGTGTGTGGCGTCCGCGTCGCTGTGTGTGACGTCCACGTCGCTGTGTGTGGCGTCCGCGTCGCTGTGTGTGGCGTCCGCGTCGCTGTGTGTGGCGTCCGCGTCGCTGTGTGTGACGTCCACGTCGCTGTGTGTGGCGTCCGCGTCGCTGCGTGTGACGTCTGCGTCGCTGTGTGTGACGTCTGCGTCGCTGTGTGTGACGTCTGCGTCGCTGTAGTTTTCTATCCGTAGTAAAAATGGAGTCTGGCGACAGCACAAACATCTTTGTTTAGAAGAAAGGCTTTTAGCGCTTCTACTTGTTGTGGTTTTAAAGACGTGTTCAAATCATGTAGAACAGAGGAAAGAGCCGCAGCTTCAGTCGCCATGTTTATGACAAGCTCGGCGTTGTGGCGTGTGGCGTACGCTACTCAGCGCTGCTTGGCTCGGTCAGAGTTCTCACAGGGGTGGGTTATCTGTTCCCTGACTCTTTCTCTGTGCAGAACTAGAGTCCGGCAGGCCAGGCTATCCATCAGGACCCACACTCACCTGGTGAAGTTCGTCAGGTCCAAGAAGTGGTGGAGACTCTCGGTGATCGACTTGTTGTGTCTGCAGCAACAAAAACAACGTCTCAGTTCTCAGAATGTTTCAGGTGACCTCCAGCTGGAAGCCTGATCTCACCTGGTGTGCTCAGGTGGAGCAGGAAGTGGACCAGGAGAGACACAAGGACTCATCATCACCATCATCGCCACCATGGAGGAAAACAGGACAGACTTCATCTTTGATCTGGATCAGAGCAGCTGAAGGCATTTATACCTCCACCAGCTGACCTGGGGTCAGCTCCACCCTGCTTACAGCGGCAGCAGCCATGTTTTCTGTCCTCTGATGAAGGTCCGACTCATGTTGATGTTCCAGCTCAGACCATGAAGGTCCCTCATGTTTACTCACACACACACACACACACACACACACACACACACACACACACACACACACACACGCACACACACACACACATTCACACACACATGCACACACTCACACACACACACTCTCTCTCCTTTATAGTGAGGACTATCACATGTTAAAGATGGTGTTAGGTGTGTTTCCTCCACCAGTCCTCAGATCTAACACTTAAACCTCTAATAGCTCTCATCCCATATTAAGAAGGGCTCAGTTCTTAGGTCAAAGGTTAAAGGTCAAGACAGGAGCACATTTGTAAAGGAACACTTAGCTTAGGTTGGAAGTTTCTCTGTGCTAGTACTTGACCTTTACCCATCATGCACTGCAGCAGAAACAAGTGCCCTAAATAAGCAGGCCTGGAGCTGTGTGTGTGTGTGTGTGTGTGTGTGTGTGTGTGTGAGTGTCTTCTCCATCCCCAGTGAGTCGTGGAGGATGACTGCTTATACTGAGCCAGGATCCTCTGGAGGTTTCTTCCTGTTAAAAGGGAGTTTTCCTCTCCACTGTCGCTGCATGCTTGCTTAGTATGAGGATTGCTGTAAAGACTCTGACACTAGTCAGTGACTTGATGCGACCTGCTGGGCTTCTTATATAGGAAACTTCTTACTGACTGGCTTCATGACATGTGTGCAGGTCCTTGAGACGACTCTGGTCGTTACATAAATAAACTGAACTGACTTTTTGGGCCAAGGAGGTTCTGTTCTGTCAAGAAAAGTCAAACGAGAAATAAGCACAACAAAGATTTTATTTTTACATCCAACATCAAAACGATCGTACAAGTGAAACTGGAACAAGCAGCTGTTTTATCTGAGAACAACACACACACACACACACACACACACACACACACACACACACACACACACACACACACACACACACACACACACACACACACACACACACACACACACACACATGGAGGGTAACTACAGCTGAACTGGTTATCAGCTGTTTATCGGAAATCTTCAGCAGAGAACATGCCCTTGGCCCGGCGCAGGATGGAGTCCTTGGATGCGTCGTAGGGATGCTCTTTGGATGGGATCTCCAGGATGGCTGGGATGGACTGCATGTGAGCATCAATGGCGTGGCGTATCATCTCAGCGATGAACTGGTTGATCAGGATGATGGCAATATCGTTTCTCGCCAGGAAGCTCCTGGGAAGAAGGAATCAGCTTAAATCATTCATGGCGTCATGCTAAACCGACCCAATGTCAAAATTACAAAATACAATTTGAAAAAGAACAAAAAAAGACACATTTAAAAAAAGTTATTGGTTGATTACGAGGGTTAGGGTTAACCCCCACCCCGCTCTGTTCTCACCTCTAAAGCCTAACTTATGCATCTGCGTCGGGACGAGACACACAACGCCGTTATCCAGCAGGCTCACCAGGACGGATGGAGTTCAGCTCTCTTTTCTATTCATCTGTCCGTCCAGACGGAGAGCACAAGCTTGTGATTGGGCAGGACGCGGCTGGCGTCTACAGCGCCCGCCGCCATTGCTCAAAAGCATAAAGAGCCGAGGATATCTAGCGGCAGACACGGAGCAGCTTGAAGGATACCTCGAGGAAAACCTCTACAATATGGAGGATATCGGCCTTCGTTGGTCCACTGCGTGTCTGCCGTTGTTGATGGTCCCTTCTCCACGGGCCGGATATCAACGGGACATTAGCTACATGCTAATCCGAAGCTAACAGAGTTTTCCCGGGAGTTTTCAGCGAGAAAAATGCGGTTTAGTGTCTCACAAGTGAAGCAGCGTCAACAAAAAAGAGCTGCGTTGTTTCTGTGGTATCCCTCAGACATCCACCATTGGCCAGCATGGCTACAGCCTCGCTTCAGAGCCGGCCCGGCTGCCCCGGGAGATAGGAGCCGGCAGCCGCCTCCTCTAACCGTTCCTGGGCAGGAGACAGGAGAAGCTGGGCACCTCTCAAGGTTCTTATCCAGCCAAAAGCTCCACTATCAAGTTTAACCCAGCAGTTAATGACGCAGCAGAGTAACAAAGGATCCAACCCCTCAGAGTTGTCATGAGTGTAAACTAGATCTATTAAACCTAGAATGGTTTTCTGAACCAGGTTGTAAACATGTGTATTTCTGCTGTAAACATGTATATTCTGCTGTAAACATGTATATTCTGCTGTAAACATGTACATTTCTGCTGTAAACATGTGTATTCTGCTGTAAACATGTGTATTCTGCTGTAAACATGTGTATTCTGCTGTAAACATGTTTATTCTGCTGTAAACATGTGTATTCTGCTGTAAACATGTGTATTCTGCTGTAAACATGTACATTTCTGCTGTAAACATGTGTATTCTGCTGTAAACATGTACATTTCTGCTGTAAACATGTGTATTCTGCTGTAAACATGTATATTTTGGCTGTAAACATGTGTATTCTGCTGTAAACATGTACATTTCGGCTGTAAACATGTGTATTCTGCTGTAAACATGTACATTTCGGCTGTAAACATGTGTATTCTGCTGTAAACATGTATATTTTGGCTGTAAACATGTTTATTTTGGCTGTAAACATGTGTATTCTGCTGTAAACATGTACATTTCGGCTGTAAACATGTGTATTCTGCTGTAAACATGTATATTTTGGCTGTAAACATGTACATTCTGCTGTAAACATGTACATTTCGGCTGTAAACATGTACATTTCTGCTGTAAACATGTGTATTCTGCTGTAAACATGTACATTTCTGCTGTAAACATGTGTATTCTGCTGTAAACATGTATATTTTGGCTGTAAACATGTGTATTCTGCTGTAAACATGTACATTTCGGCTGTAAACATGTGTATTCTGCTGTAAACATGTACATTTCGGCTGTAAACATGTGTATTCTGCTGTAAACATGTATATTTTGGCTGTAAACATGTATATTTTGGCTGTAAACATGTGTATTCTGCTGTAAACATGTACATTTCGGCTGTAAACATGTGTATTCTGCTGTAAACATGTATATTTTGGCTGTAAACATGTACATTCTGCTGTAAACATGTACATTTCGGCTGTAAACATGTGTATTCTGCTGTAAACATGTATATTTTGGCTGTAAACATGTTTATTCTGCTGTAAACATGTACATTTCTGCTGTAAACATGTACATTTCGGCTGTCAACATGTACATTTCGGCTGTAAACTTGTTTATTCTGCTGTAAACATGTATATGTTGGCTGTAAACATGTTTATTCTGCTGTAAACATGTATATTCTGCTGTAAACATGTATATGTTGGCTGTAAACATGTATATTCTGCTGTAAACATGTATATGTTGGCTGTAAACATGTTTAATTCTGCTGTAAAAATAGCTTTTTTAACACGGGAGTCAGGGTTAGCTCTCTTCTGCTGCCTGCCCCTAGCGGATGAGGGTGGAACTGCAGCGTTTGCCACTTCCTTGTTGGCTACGCCTACGGGGTAGCGCGCTTTTATCAGAGCGCCTCCTCCTGGACACAAAGGGAGTTACAACTCACGGTTCAGGCTTGGACGGCGGCCTGGACCGAAACCAGCCACACACACACACACACACACACACACACACACACACACACACACACACACACACACTCCGGTCGCCGTTCAAGCTCCGGGTTTCCGTGTCTGATCACGTGACTGGAACGACGGGGTCATTCATTCTCCCACCCCCTGCGGGGAGCAGGTGTCCACAGCGCGAGAGCCAGGACATCTGGACAAGTCTCCAGTCCACCGCAGCTGTAATCAGCTCATTTAACGGGGTCTCGCGTGCGCGCGCTCGGCCTTACTTGAACGTCTCCTCGATCTCCGTGATGCTGGTGTCCTTCTCCACCACCAGAAAGTTCGGCTTCCGGTTCTTGTTCAGCTCACCGATGCCGCCGAGCAGGAAGCCCGTACACGTGTCCTCATCCCCGATAACAGCGATCAGTTTCCCGCGGCCCGCCATCACGACCAGTTCGCTTCGGTTTAAGTAAATGGAACAGATCTGATCCGCTGCGCAAACCCTTGATCACGTGAGTGGATGACGTGTACGTCACCGGTCACATGATAGTCACGCGGACTAAACAGTCGGAAATAAGCTGCAGCGTGTGGAAACAACAAACAGCAGAAAGCCAAGATGGTGAGTGTTAAAGTTTATTTTCCCTTCAACGTCCCTGATGGAAAGAGTGACACGTTCACGGAAGCTGGGACTTCCCAGCATCGCTTTAGCACGTTCGCTTCAGCAGCTCGATCCCGTTTTTGTTCCTCAGACGGCGGCGGCGCTGACGGCGGGTCTGGAGCGGATCCCGGACCAGCTGGGGTACCTGGTTATCAGTGAGGACGGGGTTCTGGCAGTACGTATCCAACATGACACCGGTTTACCGGGATAGCACGGAAAGCTCAAAGTGCCACGTTTCCTGTCCAGAAAGCTAGCATTAGCCCCGTTTAGTTTAGCACAGGTGTGCTGTTGAGCCTTTATTTACCGTAAATGTACAGGTAATGTTATTTCTGTAGCACCTAGCACAGTCATGGGAGCAGAAAGGGCTACACACAGATCAAAATAAAGTCATAACATTATGAAATACCATCAAACAGATGAAAGATGATCACAAGTGAGTTAAAAATAAGAAAATGAAAGATTTACATGTATATAAATGCAGCTTTAAATAAAAGGGTCTTCAGCTGTTGTTTAAAAGTGTCCAGACTGTCAACGCTGCGTACGGATAAAGGAAGATCACTCCAGAGTCGGGGTGCAACAGTCTGGAAGGAGCATCACCTCCACTTTTATATCTGGTCTTTGGAACTTCTAGAAGGTTCTGGTGGGTGGACCTGAGGGCTCGGGTTGGAGCGTAAGGCTTTAACAGGTCAGTAATATAGGGAGGAGCTTGACCATGTAGAGCCCTGAAGGTTCTAGTCAGGACTCTAAATGAACTCTAAAGGTAAAAGTAACCAGTGCAGAGTCACCAGAACAGGAGTGATGTGTGCTCTTCTGTTTGCTCCAGTTAGGAGCCTCGCTGCAGAGTTCTGGACCAGCTGAAGGCGGTCCAGGGCTTTTAGTTAGAACATGTGAAGAGTGTGTTACAGTCATCTAGACGGGAGGAGATCAAGGCGTGGAGAACCATTTCTAGATAAGTCACAAGTAGGGTTGGGCATCGTTTGATTTTGAACGATTCTGATTCCGACTCCTCGTTTCGATTCCGGTTCCTATCGATTCCCGATTCTTTGAAGACATGAAATATTTTACATGAGCCAGCCAACAACAGGTCCTACTTGATGACATCATCTTAACTTCAACATGACTTTTAACTCTATGAACAACAACATCACCTTCATTTAGACACAAACATGTTGTGGAGACAAAAGAAGACGACTTGCAGCACAACCAGTGTGTTTGTTTCTGACCACAACCAAAGTCTGGAAGCAGCCTCTGGGATGAGAGGCCAAATGTCTCCAACATATCCAGAAACGTCCAGCTGGTTTCAGCTGAAACTCTCAGGATGATCATGTCCAGGAGGACGGAGAACTACACCTCCATGCTGCAGCAGCACTCAGTCAGAACAGGAAGTGAAACTTAAACGTAGTTGCTGTCTGTAACAAGCTAGCAGATTTAAACATTAAAACTCAACAGAAACAGTTCAGAAAGGAAATTAAAATGTTATTTATTATTATTATTATTATTTATGGTGGCAGAAGCTGGTGTGGTCCACCACAGAGAAGCTGCTCTAGCATGATGGGCTGCATGGTGGCGCAGTGGTTAGCACTGTTGCCTCGCAGCACGAAGGTCGCAGGTTCAAAACTCGCCTTTCTGCGTGGAGTTGCGTGTTCTCCCCATGCATGCGTGGGTTTCCTCCGGGTACTCCGGTGTCCCCCACACATCACAACATGCCCTATAGGTTATAAATTGTAAGTCGCTTTGGATAAAAGCGTCTGCTAAATGAATAAACACGAACACGATGGTGTTAATGTTCAGCCCTCTGACGCTCACACACACACACACACACACACACACACGAGTGTTGGTGAGCGGCTGCGTCTGACTGCTGACGCTCCGTGTGTGTTGTTATTTCTGCAGTGAGACAAACTCACCTCACACCGTCCAGAGTTTGTTCTTTAAGCTTCTAGTAAATCCACCGTGTTGACGTATTTAACACGTTTCCTCTACGCTGCAGGAGTTAACGTTTACATCACGGAGTAAAGGTTCGCCAGACGCGTTCTGGGTGGGGGAGAGGGGAGGGGTGGTGCTGCACACAGACAGCTGGTGTGATCACAATTTGCAGACCAAGTTTATTTTTCACGGAGATCAGCCGCGGATTCCTCTTCCGTCAGCATTGTAGGAATCAGAACTAGGAATCGAAACTAGGAATCAAAATAAAAAACTTTTAACGATTCCGGAAAAAACTAACAGTTGGTCCTGTTTCCACTCGGTGCCCAACCCTAGTCGCCTCGAGTTACTCGACTATTCTATTTGATGACGTTTCAAGTGAAACGAGTGTTGCTGCTAAAAGTATGAAAATGAAAAGGATCAATAATAAATATTAAGTGTTCCCGCTTTCCCAGCTGATATTTAGTTAATGAGCTGGTGGTGGTCGGAGGGACTGGGGCGCCCTGCTGCAGCCGCCTCTGTCAGTGCGCCCAAGGGCAGCTGTGGCTACATGGTAGCTCATCACTGCTAGGGTGTGAGTGATTGTGTTGTAAAGCGCCTTGGGGGGTTCCAGGGCTCTAGAAGGCACTATATCATATACAGGCTCTTTAATAAATATTGCATAGAATAAAATTGTACTTACAAACCTAAACTTAGTTAAAGTAACTTAATAAATTCACAAGTAATCAGAATTTATTCATTTCATTAACATGTTCCGTAGTAAGCTGCTGGAAATGCTAAAACATGTACTTTCTACCAAGTTGTAACTGTGGTATATATGTATTTTATTACGTGCTGGTTAGCAACATAAATCTAGTCTGATTTACATGCTACATCAGCTTGCCATAGCCTGCTGCGGTGGATGGAGCAGACTGGTAGCCACAGCCAGGCGGTAGCTGCAGACATCCACACACAAACGGGGTGGTGGGGTTTCTCCTGCTTCTACAGTTCAGTCGTTCACCATCACCACGCTTGCTTGTGAGAACGCTACCTGCTAGCTTAGCATTAGTTTCACCCTTGACCCCAAACGTAGGACCTGCCTTTGCTGGTGTCCTCCACAGCAGCCCGACCACGCAGTGCACCAGTACATGTGTTCAGACTGTGGAGCACACATGAACCAGGCTTCGAGTCAGTAAACAGTGACTCAATGATTCGATTCATTTAGTGAATGACTTCTATCAGAACAGATGAATGTGATTCGAGACGGCTGGTGAAGGTGAGTCTGTTCAGTCTGCAGGTGAGCTGGAGAACGACGAACACACCGCCGGTGTCATCATGCAGATGGTTCGAACGGCCTGTCGCTTCAGGTTATCTGGATCATCTGATGCTCCCTTCAAGCGCATGTCAGGTAACAAACATCCATTTATTAGTTCCGTTACCATGGTTACCGAGATGGAGACATCAGCTGCTCTAGAGTTCAGTTCACTGCTTCAATTGTGTCTCAGAGCAGCTGATCTCCTGACACGTGGAACCAGCTCATCTTAGACTCCACTGCCTGCCTCTTGGGCCAGGTAACAGGAATAAACACCTGTCTGTCCTCAGTGATCCTGGAGGACTTCGTCTACGCGGTGACGGTGTCTGGACACAAAGTGTTTGTGGTGAAACGACACAACAACCAACACGATCCAATCAGCGTCTAGAGGAGCCGCCATGACCAAGACTGTGTGTGTGTGTGTGTGTGTGTGTGAGAGAAATAAAAGGATGTAAACCTGATCTGTGTGTGTGTGTGTGTGTGTGAGAGAAATAAAAGGATGTAAACCTGATCTGTGTGTGTGTGTGTGTGTGATTACACCTTAAACCGATTCGTGAGACGCCTTGGGTCGTTCTTTCCCTTCCTTACTGGTCTGATCAGGGTCACAGGGCCAGCGTGGTCTCCAAACCCGGCTCGCCCAGCATCACGGGTCTGAATGAAAGCGTTTGTGTTGCTGCTTGGAAGGAGGAGGCGGTCTCTCTCTGTTCCAGCCCGACTCCGCCTGTCGGGCCTCCTTGGGTCAGGCTGAAGCTTAGGCCGTTACCGAGCTCCACCGTGGGGATCCTTGGACAGGCTGGAGAGGATCCGTCCAGCATGTCCTGGTCCAACTCTGCCACTGGGGCATGTCTGGAAAGGTAAGGTTCCATGTTCTGGTCTGAACTTCAGAACAAGTCCAAACTGGATGTGAGAAGTTCTGTAACCTGAGGCTGACGCCAGTAAACACCTCCTCACAGAAACAGCTGGAGAAAAAACCTTTATTGCATCATTGTTGTGTCTTCACATTAATAAGGACAAGGCCGTCAGGTCCGGCTCTGCGGAATGAGTCATTATATGACCTGGTGAGCGCCACCTGTGGTAAGCCCCACCCCCTCTCCCTATGACATGATCTGGAGTTAAAACATGCGAACTGAAAAAAAAAGATCTAGGACACCAGAAGATGAGAAACCAGGTGAGCTCAGAGTCCATGACATCACTTCCTCCTACAGACATAACTTATAAAATAAAAAACCAGCAACAGTCCTGTGAACGCTCCTCTTCCTCAGTTTAAACACGGTGACATCATCCAGCTGCGTTAACGTTTCGACAGCTCATTGGACAGCCAGTCCAGACCCTCGTAGAGACCAGTCCCCTGAGTGGCACAGGTGGCCTGGACGTGCCACTGCAACAAACAAACAAACAGACGGGTCAGAGTGCAAACCTGCTGTGGATCAGATTGTCTTTTCCAAAAGTGAGGTCGTCATGTGACCAAACAGGAGCCTGCCAGGTGTTCTGGGTATGGGTGATGGGTGTAGAGCAGCGACGGGATGACGGTTCTTACGGTTCTGTTGCGCAGGCCATGCAGCCCAAGTTTGTCGGTGAGTTCGCTGACCCCCATGGCGTTGGGTAGGTCCTGCTTGTTAGCAAACACCAGAAGAACTGCATCCTTCAGCTCGTCTTCCTGGATCTGAGAGGACAGTCATGTGACCTGCAATATCTTTGGTAACAGCTGTTAAAAGGCACGCCCTCGGTGGGCTGCTCCGCTCATCCCATGACTCACCATCTTGGAGAGCTCCTCAGCCGACTCGGCAACTCTCTCTCTGTCGTTACTGTCCACCACGAAGATCAGGCCCTGTGGGACACCAATCCCATCAGTTACTGAGTCTAGATCAGGACCGCGTATCCGCTCGACTGATGGTCCCATTAGCTGGCTGTGATGGTTGCTGGGGAAGCACTAAAGTTTGTTCAGTAATATTGATAATCCATATTTTAAGGAATATTAACTTTTTATTAAACACCTTTATATTCTATTGGTAATTTATTAAAAGCGATCACCTACAAAACGTTACAACACACAAAAGAGATGCTTCTTCTGGCCACTGAAAGACTACACAGCGCATCTGCTCACGCCCTTCAGAGGGATCCACTCATGATGGACCGAATAAAACTCATTAATGCTACCGTGGGCGCTTTATGACATCACTCACTGCCAAAGCAGCCGTGACACGCCAACATCCTGAAAGGGCTGGGACGTCCCATCTCCTGGTCAAGACCCCCTCCCCCCCCTCAGAACTTACCCTGAAGTTCTGGCAGTGGAAATACACACATCGTTGTTCTAATATTCAGAGATACTCCGTTTGGGATTTTCATTATTTGTCAGTTAAAATCATCAACAGAAATAAACATTAAATAGATCAGGCTGTGTGGACGGGTGAACGCCTCGCTGCACGACACTCGGCTGTAAGCGGCTGATTGGGCGGTTGGAGCACCAAAAGTTCCCGAGCGCAGCCACGGCTGCTCACAGGGACGGGTCAGGCAGAGATGAGCTTCACCAGCGTGTGGTGACTAACATGCAGTCCCACCTTATAATGGAGACTGAAATAGACCAACTTTGGCGTGATATTGTAATTTTATGACCAGCACCTGTAGGACCTGTGACACCAAAGGTTTTCACCTGTCCAGGTAACATACCTGTGTGTTCTGGAAGTAGTGTCTCCACAGAGGTCTGATCTTGTCTTGACCACCAACATCCCACACCGTAAAGCAGATGTTCTTATATTCTACAGTCTCCACGTTAAAACCTGAAAACACACACACACACACACGACGGTGTGAACACCTGAGCACGTAAAGATGATGGCTGCTCTTCAGATCATGAGAAGTTTGTATTAGCTCAGGCTAGCCGTTAGCTCAGGCTAAGTCTGTGGGACACTGAAGCACACCAGGGTGCTGCTGTAAAGGGTGGAAGCTAATATGAGGATGCTAACAGGAAGTAAGGTGAGAAAGAGAAACATAAGTAGTAATGCTTCAATCTGATCACATGATGAGAAATCTTGCCTGATCACATGTTTTCACATAAATTAGCTGGAAAAGCGTAGCTAGTAAAAATAGTGAGCCTCTGGTTTGAGCTGTGACCTTCAAAAAGAGAATCTAACAAATTACTATAAACTACTAAACTACTATAAACTACTATAAACTGCTATAAACTACCAAATTACTATAAACTACTAAACTACTATAAACTACCAAATTACTATAAACTACTATAAACTGCTATAAACTACTAAACTACTATAAACTACTATAAACTGCTATAAACTACTAAACTACTAAACTACTATAAACTACCAAATTACTATAAACTACTAAACTACTATACACTGCTATAAACTACTAAACTACTATAAACTACCAAATTACTATAAACTACTAAACTACTATAAACTACTAAACTACTATAAACTACAAGCTTTTTGACAAATATGCCAATAAAATAGAGAAATTGCAGACAGACTTCAGAATGTTGTGGTTTGTCGGTTTACTGCAGCACCTGAGCCACGCGTGGTGTTTGCAGGTGTTGTGCAGAGAAAAGTGAGCCTGTCGGCCACGGCACCGCACGCCTGCCCTGTCCCGGGAATGCACCTTGCTCAGTACAGCTGCATAGTGGACGTTAATTTGAAATATATTATTAACACGATTGTTTTAATCAGTTTTCAGCAGTAAAATATGGTCGATTGCAGACCTTGTTGGGGACCATTTCCTTGAAGTACCTTTAATGGATCTTTGTGGCTGTAAGACTGCTTTTGTTCATGTTTGGCTCTGTTCTTCTACTACTCTGTTCTGAGTTAGATATTAGATTAAATGTCTGATTCTGACAACCTTATACACCTGACTGGCAATCGAAGCTTTTCAACGAGGTCCATCATGTGTGCATACATAGAGACGTGGTGCAAACCCGATGCTGTAAGCCTTATTAGTAGGTATAAAATAGAAATAGCTCGCACAAACGGACCGGCAGACGGCTCTGACAATCACTGATAGTTGTGTCCAGTCACCCAACCTGAATGTGGGAGGGGCCGACAGGTCTGACCCGACAGGAGTGGCGGCCCTTACCGATGGTTGGGATGGTGGTAACGATCTCTCCCAGCTTCAGCTTGTACAAGATGGTTGTTTTTCCAGCTGCGTCCAGACCAACTGAAACCAACAGAGCAGAAAACCAAACGTTACAGTTGTATGTAAGAAATAAGCCACTGCTGAACAGCTGACTTCATCATAAACAGATCACACCGTCAGACACCAGATCAACCACCCAACCACACGCAGACATTCTCAGGCATCCACTCGTGGTACCCGTCAAGATGTTTCGTCTCTCATCCCCCGGTTCATGGAACAGAATAAAGTTTAGCGAGAGCTTCTACAGGCTACAGCAGCTAGATTATAATTTCTCTCTCACTGTTCCGAGCTTGAAAGGTGACAGATTTCCACGTCTGGACACAACGATCACCACCTAACACACATCCAAAGCTGGACTCTTGCAGACAGGATGCGTGGTTTCACAGTGGTGCTTGGTCCCCGGTGCAGAAGTAGTTAGTCAGATTTTCCATGTTTCAGAGCTGAAACCAGACCAGCTTCAGGGGGAGGAGAAACGCCTGACGACACGAGTGGTTCTCATTCAGGCGTTCTCTGAGTAAAACTCTAAATTTGCTGCTGATACAGGAAAATGCATGAATGCAGCCAAAATGGGCTAGCCTAACTGCTAGCCTGCCACGGAGCACATCTGTTCTCCAGCATGACCACACTGAAGTCAGCTTCAGATTGGATAAACGGCTAAAGGGCAGTGACAGCCAATCTTCCTCCACTCCGACCATCTTTAATCTGCTTAAGCTGAAAAACTACAACACCCACACTCTTCAGACCCGCCTAGATTATTCTAGGCTAATAGCAGATCTCGTCCAAGTCTGAACTGCATCTGCAGCTGTTTAAGTGTGGTCCAGATGCAGAAAACATGCTAAAATCTGGCTTGTTGAAGTGTCACAATCACAAACTACGTTTTACGTAATCTGTTAGAATAATCTAGGCGGGTCTGAAGAGTGTGGGTGTTGTAGTGTTTCAGCTTAAGCAGATTAAAGATGGTCGGAGTGGAGGAAGATTGGCTGTAACCGCCCTTTAGCCGTTTATCCAATCTGAAGCTGACTTCAGCCTCGGTCCAGCATGTGTTACCATGGTGAATGGGAGGGGCTTCAGGCTAGATGAACTTAGGGAAGGTAAACCAGCATTTTTAAAGAGAACAACTTATTTAATGTATTTATAAATGTGATTTAGTCTGATAAACCGTGGAGTAACGGGATCTCGGTTACATTTAAGGAGTCCTTCCAGATGGAGTCAGTCTTATTAGGAAAGAGTGCAGCCTCTCAGCTGTCATTCAGTCTGGTTACCATGACAACGCGTGTGCGATGGAGAGCAGAGGAGGTTCTGGTAGATGTAAAATAAAACATGGACCGGAATCGGATTTGTGCGGTTTATCTGGGATTCCAGATCCCAGCATGGGTCCAGACGGACCTGCCGCCAGCGCGCTCACGCGTTTCCTCCAGAGGAGCTCTGACAGGTCCTTCACTATAATAACAGGTCATGAGAAAGGCCACGAGGCGCTCCACAAGGACAATAATTATAATACATAAATTCATTAAAACTGCTTAAAAAACAACAACATGGCCAGAGAACAAGCCAGCCGCGCTACGATGTCAGATGGTCACTGGCGCTGTTTGTAGGTTCAGCAGCAGTCATGTGACGGCTGATTTTCCACCTCATTACTATTTAATGGGTGAAATAATGAGTGGATGACGGAGACCCTCGGTTCCCCGTTCTACCACTAGGTGCTGCTTGTGCACATGGTCGGAGGTTTTCTGATGTCTAGGAGCTTTTCCACGCACGCACATCCAAAATGGTGCGTATGCTAGCCCTCACACACAGATGTGTGCGTAACGCCTGACGCATTCAATCAGGAAGTGGGACATTTACAGCTTTTATACATGAAACCTGCATTTCTGCCTCCTCCCAGGCCTAACCTTGAGAGAGAGCTCCAGAGTCTGGGGGCCACAGCAGCAGATGATCTGTCACCTTTGACCTTTAGCCTGGTGCTGCACAACCAGTAGGCTTTGATCACTGGACCTCAGGGACCTGCTGGGGGTGTAGGAACTAAGAAGATCACCAATGTAAGATGGTGCTTGTCCATGTAAGGCCCTATAGACCAGAACCCTGCAGGTGACTTGCAGCCAGTGAAGCTGGAGGAGAAGCGGGGTGATGTGGGTGTGTTTGGAGGACTTGGTCAGAAGCTGAGCACAGGCGTTCTGAACCACCTGTAGACGGTTCAGGGAGGTTCTGCTCAGACACGTGAAAAGAGAGTTACAGTAGTCTAAGCGTGAGGAGATGAAGGTGTGGAGAACTGTCTCAAGTTCAGAGCGGGACAGAATGGGACTCAGCTTAGCAACGTTCCTGAGATGGAAGAAGGAAGAGCCAACAAGAGAACTGACATGAGAATCCAGGGTGAGAGCTGGGTCAAAGGTCACGCCAAGATTCCTGACAGAAGGTTTGGTGTGAGAAGCAAGCTGACCAAGAGAGTCTCTGACTTTGGGAACCAGCTTGTCTGGGGCACAGATGAGGATCTCAGTCTTATCTTCATTCAGCTGAAGAAAGCTCCCACCATCCAGGTTTTGATAGAGTCTAAGCAGGTGTGTAACAGCTGCAGCTTAGACATCTCATGGGGCTTAAAGGAGATGTACAGCTGGATGGGTCCGAAGGTGAACTGACTGATGTGATGAAATAACAGCGATGGTGGTCTTTAGAGATGTTTATAAACTGAGGAGGTAAGCGGACTAACCGTCACTAGTGACGTCATTAGATCATCTTAGCTAATGAATGACCAGAGGCCAGAGGTTCAGGTGCTTCGTGCTTTATAGTTTCCGGTCTCCACCACCAGTGACCTGAACGCGGTTCTAGTCACATATGACTAGAGGTCCAGATCCAGATCCCACCGAACCGGACCCAAATGGCAGGTTAACTCACGAGAGAACCTCCTGTTAGCTCCGCTCGTTAGCAGCTACTTGCTACACCCAGTCAGAACCTTTTTACAAGGTTCTTGAGCCAAACGGGACTTTAAACGGACAAAAGAACCAACTCGGTCTGGTCCAAAGCAGCAGTAGGTTACAGAAAAAGTTCTGAGCCGGTGGTCGGAACCGAACCGGTCATTCCGTAGCTAGCATGCTAACAGCTGCGCTCACCCATCAGAATCCTCATCTGTTTCTTCCCGAACAGCTTGGAGAATAAAGACGAGATGGTCAGACCCATTTTATCCCGGTTCCGGTCCCGGTTCAGCGGGAGATGACAATCTGACGGCGGAGGCTGAGAGCCGATCGGTCCGGAGGAACTCCTGTCAGAACCGGAGAGCAGACACCGGATCAGAGAACACTTCACCGCTCCTCCCCGGTGCCACGTCCAGGCCAACGCGGAATGAATGACGTCACGGATTAGAATCTAACTTTATTAACACACGGAGAACAGAGACAATGTGATGCGTTTGGATTTCACCGGAAATCTCACGAGTCAGCTTTCAGCACATGAAAATAAATGACAAAATAAAGACTTTAAAAGACATTTTTATTTGATATTTGACAGTTTAAACATTTTTTTGTGTTATCTGTTAAAGTTTAACCTGAAAAGGTAATTCTGCTTAAGTTAGTTTTGCATTTTATGTTTTTGGCCTTTAAAAAAGGTAAATAAAAACACAAATGACAAATAACGCTTTACAATATGGGTCCCTTTATTAATGTTAGTGCATTATTAAGCATTATTAACAAAGGGTCCCTTTATTAACCACCCAATATTGTTAACTATTGAATGTCTTTAAAGTTAAGGACAAAGGGCCTAGGGGGTCTGCTTAGTAATGCATTACTTAACATAAATATTAAGCAGCTGTTAATACTTTATTAATGCTTAATAATGCACTATGTAGCCATTAATCTGCTCAGTGGCCTCTAATGACTGTCTGCCCTGACAGGAAGATGAAGGTTCAAATCAACATCGGCGGGTCATACCAAAAACGTTTAAAAATGGGACCCAACGCCTCCCCGTTTGACACTTAGCATTAAGAGGCTGGACTGGGGGGTTAAAACACCAAATCGTTCCCGAGCTCGACCACTGCTGAAGCTCACTGGCACCACTCCCCATGGGGGTGGGTCACATGTGGACATTTAATTGTGTGATGATGACTACTGAGACTTTAGCTTGAATAAAGAGACTTTTAGTGTAAAGTGTTACTCATTAAAAAAAAATACTCATTTTTAAAAGATCTTTTTAAATAATTATTAATATACAGATCGCAAATAAAAGTCCATCATTAAGCAATAAGCGGCATGGTTTACAGCTAGTTCACGTTGCCTCGTAGCTAGGGGGTTTGAATCCCACCAGCTGCCTTCTGTTAGTGCTGTCCCAACCATGAATGGGTTTCCTCCAGGTACTTGTTGTTGGATTGTGAGGAGACTCTGATTGTCCCTGTGTATGAGCCCGTGTGTGTCCTTTTTGGCTCTGTGTGTCCCAGTGAGACTGGAGACCACCTGTCCAGGCCTGTCACGTACGTGCACACCACGACGACACAGTGTGCACTAAGCATGACAGTCTTCTTGACTACTTTTGGAGATAAATCCATATTCCCAAGTCCATTCCGGATTAAATGTTGTCTTTCATTTGGACATTTTGCAGTCTGCTGGCTACTCGGGTCTACGCAGTGTAAACCACATCAATGTGGCCAATTTGATTAGGTACTTCAACGCAACGGTGCTTGTGAGTAAGTCATGATTGTTATTTGACTCTGATTTTATAATCAGAAAACCGCCTTATAGACTGCATAACTGCATTTAGACTTTAAACCTATTTAATGTAACACTTATTAGGTGTATTTAATTTTTAATATAAGACCATATAAAACAACAACATTATGGCAGAAGGAGGGAAAATGGGCGTCCATCCCGAAGGTGCTCCTGAAAATCCTGAAAAAAAGCTGGAGATGTGGCCACCCTGCCACCCAGAGCCTGATGGAGATACCAGTTCCCTCAGACCTAGATGAACACAGTAGTAAGTCAAGTCAAGTATTCTTTATTCCGGACTCTTAGTCCCATTAACAGAGATGGAGAAGACAAATAAAACATTGCACATATAAGATCAAATGAAATTAGCACAACATGACTCTAAAGCACCAAAGACAAAATAATCATTAAAACAGAATATAAGACAAACACGTTTGAGTCAACGAGCCATTTTAAGAGACAAACTTTGAAATATGAAATGAAAACAAGCAGCACTTTTAATTTTATTTCATCCCAGTTCCCCTGAACGCTGCATGAAGTTCCCGCCTACATCAGCTTGTCTGTTTCCGGGTTGGAAGAACATGGCGGCTGTTGACAGAAGGATCTGTAAGTTTGTCTTAAATGACAGGATTCATGTTCGTACTTTAGTCAGTGGTTGGTTTAAAATCTTCAGTCTCGTGACTTTTGCTAGATGAGTTTGTGATTCCAGCGTGTTGATAGCTGCTATTTCTGTACAAAAGCTGGCTTCTACGACAAACCGGATCTAACCGGCTGCTGATGGTAACGTTTAATGCTTAAGCAGGAAGCAAGGCTGTTTTAAGCGCGGCTAGATCAACATGGTAACACAAGCAGGTTATGAGCCAAGAGTCTGGGCTGTCGGGTATATGCAGGTCGGTTAAGGTGATGTTTACCTGTCGTAAGGTCCTTCCCTGCACTGGTTGTGCAGCACCAGGCTAAAGGTCAAAGGTGACAGATCATCTGCTGCTGTGGCCCCCAGACTCTGGACCTCTCTCCCCCTGAGCCTGAGATCAGTGGACTCAGTGGTCTCCTTTAAAAAGCAGCTGAAGACTCACTTGTTCAAGCTGGCTTTTGTATGACCTTCTTCACCTCTCTCTCTTTATTCTGCTCTCCCCACCTATCCCACCTTCCTCGGGATCCACTGGTTTCCCTCTTTCCTGTTCACTCTCTCTCTTTCGTAACATTTTAATCACTATTATCTATTTTTGCTCATTTTAAATATATTTTTAATCATTTTCTAAATTCTTTTATATTTTTACATTTTTAGTTTTTATGAAGCGCCTCGTGATTTTTATCTTCAATTCAATTCAAGTCAAGTTTATTTATATAGCGCCAAATCACGACAAGAGTCGTCTCAAGGCACTTCACATAGTAAACATTCCAATTCACAGTTCATTAAGCCAATCAGAAATAATGTTTCCTATATAAGGAACCCAGCAGGTTGCATCAAGTCACTGACTAGTGTCAGTGACTATACAGCAATCCTCATACTAAGCAAGCATGCAGCGACAGTGGAGAGGAAAACTCCCTTTTAACAGGAAGAAACCTCCAGAGAATCCTGGCTCAGTATAAATAGCCATCACACACACACACACACACACACACACACACACACACACACACACACACACACACACACACACACACACACACACACACACACACACACAATAATGTGTCTATAGTTCTATTGTGATGTCTTAGTAAATATTCTATTTGGTGAGATCAACTTTATTGTATTTATCCTAGTGGATCTTGAGAGGCGCTATAGAAATGATCTCTTCTTCTTATTTATTATTATTATTATTTATTATTATTATTCCTGTAGGAGATTCTCCAGAACAGGAAGTAGTGTTGTGACCAGAGTAAAACTCACGCCTAGCCAGATTAACGGATTAACTCTGGCTCAAACAAGTCAAAGCAAGGTGTTAAAATGCTGCTTTGACCTTTGACCCGTGCTGACAGCAGTGTTCAATCCAGACTGTTCAGTGGAAACTAAACCCATCTTACCAAACTGCTATGTCTGCTCTACCAGGTGACCTTTTAGCCAGGATGCTCTATGATCGGTGGTCAACACATGCTTAACAACATAAGCCATTTAAATGCAGCGCAGACCCTCCAGCTGGATGCCATGACCACTCTGCCAAACACGTATAATCATTACGATACGTCTTTAGTACGGCTGGAACAGGCAGGTGAGCTGTTCAGAGTCCTTCATAGACGTGTGTGTGTTTGCTAGAGAGGTAATAATGTTTGACCTGATGAAGTTTAAAGCTGTGGACTATCGCAAGACCAAGCAGCAAACTCCGCCCACCGAAAGTCAAGCTAACGTCCCCGCGGCACCAGGAGCGACTCCCGTGTTAGGGTTTCCAGCAGACACAAACACGTTTACAGCCTGGATCAACAAACATTTTAGGTTTAATACAGTCCTGACAGCTCTTGAGGAGGCGACATTCTTTGTAATTCTTTCATTTAGGTGTAATTAAAGTTGAAATGATGAATAATTACATTTCATTGACAGATAGCATGAGGGTCAGAGCTAGCGGCTTGCTACGGGAAAGGCCTCAGCCTTGGGCCTCGCGTTAAGTGTTCGGCCATTTTAAACGTTAAAGTCCCTTTAGTTGTCACACACACCGGTGTTGTTTATTCTCCACATCTGACCCATCCCTGGGCTGCAGACACGGCTGGGCTCGAGAACCATTTGGACTTGTGTTCTCTGTGTGTTTGGATGTCAGTCGTGCGTGGTGTTATGTGCTTCTATATCTTACATGAAACTCTTATGTGATGGACTCCATCCCAGGTGGCCACACGTCAGGGATAACCAGTCTGGACTACTTCAACAGAGCGTCTGCATGCTTGTGCAAAAGGGCTGGAAGTTGGGGCCTGCAGCTAATGGCTAAAGCATCCACGTTAACAATGGTGTCTGCAGCAGAATAAAGTATGCATTGAAAACTAGACGTCAGTAGTATTTACCTGAGGACCATCCTTGCTGGCTTTAAGCTGCGCCTCAGTCTCAGACACCAGGGCCCTGCCCTGTATTTTATCATATGAGTGAAAGTTAGAACAGAGTCCTGATTTATGAAAGCTGCGGTGGTCACTCGTACGCTCACTCGTCCTCAAACCGACTGATGGAGAATCTAGTGACGGAGAAACCGAAGCTTTCCATACCGCGGTTTGACACGGTGAATCATTTGAACCGGGGCTGGGCACAGTGGGCAATGAATCGAACGTTTATTGTTATCAAAATGTCTGACTCCTATCTACTGCGCCGCCATGCAGCCCATGGTGCGGGGGGACGGGTTCTGACTGGGGGCTGTGCTTCTGCACCAAACTACAGGTCAGACTACCCACCCCTGTTGGAGACCTTGGAGGGGGTGCTGGAGAGCGCTCCCTCCGGTGACTCCCTCGTTCTGCTGGGGGACTTTAACGCTCCCGTGGGCAACGACAGTGAGACCTGGAGAGCTGTGGTTGGGAGGACCCCCCCCCCCCCCATCTGAATTCAAGCGTATTTTGTTATTGGACTTTTATGCCAGTCGATCGATAGGCGGATTGGTGCTGCGTCTGCAGCGATGCGGGCGTTGTACCGGTCTGTCCTGGTGAAGAGAGAGCTGAGTCAGAAGGTGAAGCTCTCGATTTACCGGTGGATCTACGTTCCTACCCTCACCTATGGTCACGAGCTCTGGGTAGTGACCGAAGGAACGAGATCACGGATACGAGCGGCTGACATGAGTTTTCTCAGAGTGGCTGGGCTCTCCCTTAGAGAGAGGGTGAGAATCTCCGTCATCCGGGAGGGGCTCAGAGTAGACCCGCTGCTCCTCCACATCGAGAGGAGCCAGCTGAGGTGCCTCGGGCATCTGGTCAGGATGCCTCCTGGACGCCTCCCTGGTGAGGTGTTCCAGGCACGCCTACTGGGCAGAAGACCCAGAGCACACTGGAGGGATTATTATTTATTATTCTGGGTTAATCTGGATCTTCCATTTAGAGATCTAACCAAGACCCTCTCCTGTTTGATAAAGGAACCAGTGTGATGTGGCCCAAGCAGACATGGAGAAGTTTGGGATGAGTTTTGGAGGCGGTCCCAGCAGAAAGGAGCTGCTGGAGGTCACTGAGTCCCAGAAAAAGCAGCTGGTCCAGTACCAGACCCGCTTTAAGGATGTGGTCCGGGCCTACAAGAGTCTCCTGAAAGAGAAGGAGGCTCTGGAGGCCAGTCTGAAGGTCCTGACTGTGACCCAGGATGTGGACCTGAACGCCACTGGGGGCCCAGACCTGCTGGAGGACGGCTGCTCGCAGCACAGTGAGGACAGCGTAGAGACGGCAGCATCTGTGGATGCAGCCAGCGACACCGCTCATGAGGAGGAGCTGTCAGAGCCGGGCCAGAAGTCCAGCTCCTCTGTAAGACCACAGCACCACAGCCCTGCTACAGAGACGGGAGCAGTACTTTAACATCCTCGTTTTGTTTTTCAGGAGGTGGACGCCGAGGAGGCGGAGCAGCCGCAGGCTCCACCCACCTCCAATGTGGAAGCCGATCGGCGTGTCGCCCAGCTGAAGAGCCAACTGAGCACGCTCACCGCCTCCCTGGCTACAGTGACCCAGGAGAAATCTCGGATGGAGGCGAGTTTCCAGGCGGACAAGCGCCAGCTGAAGCAGGAGGTGGAGGAGCTGCAGGAGCAGCTGGTCGTCATGGCCAAACAGCAAGAGTCAGAGCTGCAGTCCCTACAGCAGCAGCTGGCGGAGGGCCGCGCTCGCATCATCACGCAGCAGCACGAGAGGGAGCAGGAGCAGGGAGACCACGCCCAGCAGCTCAGGGAGCTGCAGAGACTCCTGCAGCAGGAGCGAGACCTCCGGCAGGATGCCGAGCTGCGCCTGCAGGATGCCAAAGCCGAGCTGCTCGCCTCCCTGCAGGCTGCAGACCGAGGGGCGGAGTCAGAGGTTCAACTGAGTCAGGTGAGGGAGGAGAGGAACCAGCTGCGGAGGAGGCTGAAGGCTGTGGAGGAGGAACAGAAGAAACCAGATCCCCTAGTGGAGGAGCTGCAGCAAGAACTACAGGAGCTGAAGAACTCCTTCCAGCAGCAGATCCACATGGAGACCAAGAAGGTGAGACCAGGTTCTGACTCCCACAGCAGACTGGTTAGGGGTCCGGGAGGAGGCACAACGGTCGTTTCTGTGTTTGATTTCAAATAAAAACCGTCTCGTGTGTTTTCTCTGCAGGGATCTGAGGCTGAGGAGCGTGCTCGTGAGCGTGCACAGGCTACAGAACTACGGGTGGCCGGTTTGGAGCAGCGGATCTCAGAACTGTCAGAGCTCCTGGGGTCCTGCGAGAAGGCGAGGCAGCGAGACCAGCAGGTGGCTCAGAGGCTGCGGGACCGGATCCTGCAGCTGGACACAGAAAACAAAACTCTGGCCATCGCCGCCTCCAGCAGGTCCAGCTGCGACTTGAGTCTGGACGAGTCACAGCTGGACGTCTCAGTGCTGAAGGAAAAGATGCAGATGGTGAAAAGGCTGCTGGTGCTGGCAACTCAGAAGAACCCGGACCAGAACATCCAGGATTTGGCCGACTCGGAGCCGGGCTCGGAGAAAGGCTCGGCGCTGGTCTACCAGCAGGAGCTGCAGCAGCTCAGGGAGGAGTTTGAGCGCTACAAGCTGCGTGCACAGGTGGTGCTGAAGAACAAGAACGCCAAGGATGGCTGCCAGGCCAAGGAGCTGGAGGAGGTCCGGGACCAGCTGGCTGAGCTTCGGGAGAAGTACATCAATCTGCGGATCCAGAGTGATGAGGCTGAGGCACAGCACCACCAGCAGATGGAGGAGCGGCAGCAGCAGATGGTGGCGCAGCAGCACGCCCACAGACAGGAGCTGGAGCGGGTGGAGGCGCAGCACCGTGACGAGCTGCTGCGGCTGGAGGCAGAACTTCACAAACAACGGGAGAGGACCATGGCTCTGCTGGATGAGAAGGACCAGGAGCTGGAGAGGCTCCGCAGCACCGTGATGAGCTGCAGCCGCAACATCAGCGATGTAACGGACGGTGGACAGGAAGTTGGCTCTGACAGCGAGGATGACAACATCAGCCAAGCACTGCGACAGGCCACACCCACTGAGTCTACGCTGCTGCTGTATGCCGACCAGCTCGCCCGAAAGGAAGTCGAGGCGAGCAGGCTGCGGCAGCAGAAACACCGGCTGGAGGAGGACCTGCACCAGCTGCAGGCCAAGCTCATCGCTAACGCTGAGCGGCACGATGAGGAGATGGTGGAGCTGCGTGGACAGCTGGACAAGCTGCTCCGGGACCACAGCCGAGAGGGCGCCAACCTGGAGTACCTGAAGAACGTCATCTACAAGTTTCTGACACTACAGGACGCCAGTGGGCGGCTGCAGACACTCGGCGCCATCGTCACCATCCTGCACTTCAGCCCGCAGGAGAAACAGGATGTGATGCGGCTGCAGGGGCCAGCCTGGTGGGGCCCCGCACGCAGGTGAAGCACCTGAGGAAGTGACCATCGGATGTAAACGCAGTGATGCTGTTGAGTTTCTGGGACTTGCTGTGATCAGTAATCTGACCCGTGGGATATTTTTTATTCTTACAGTAAATAAAATATTTTGTGCGGTTTGTGCTTCGTCACATTTCTGAAATGAGACCGTCAGCCCAGGGCGGTGCCTTCGCTGGCGAACCCCCACCACCGCCTAAGCACTCCCCGAGGAGCGCCCAGGCCGAGGCGACCAGCACCCCCGAGGCAGAGGGCCCCACAGAGGAAGCACTGGCATGAACACATAAGCAACATAAAAAATAAGAGCTAGTATGGATAGAAGAACTAAAGTAAGACATGAATGTCTAATAAAACAGGAAATGCAGCTAAAACAGATATCAGGTAAAAGCTACGCTAAAAACGAGCGTTCCCTACGACTCCGGTCCTCTGGCAGCCTGTTCCAGAGACGAGGGCCAGGACGCCTCGCCGTGGGTGTGTGTCCTGACTTTAGGGATGACGAGGAGACGGCTGCAAGAGGTCGCGAGGGTTCGTAAGGCAACAGCAGTTCTGAGAGATAAACCATTGAGACACTTTATCCTGAAACATCCGGCGAGCCAATGCCGCGCTTCTGAAACTGGTGTAATGTGCTCCCGCCTCCTGGTCTCCATCAGGACATGAGCTGCTGCCTTTGTAAAAGTCTGGGATGCTCTTTTGGGAAGATCGGAAAGCAGGGCACTACAGTAGTCCACTCTACTGGTGGCAGAAGCGTGCATCAGCATCTCCGCACTGGCCCGAGAGGATGGGGCGGACTCTGGCGATGTTCTTTAGATCAGGGGTTCCCTACAAGACTGCTGAGGGTGTGAGGTTAGCAAGATTTTATTTGTAAAACTTACATTTATAAGATCCTAAAACTGCACCCTACAGTATAATCAGAGCTCCATGTAAAAGGTATACCTCTGTACATCTGAAAAGAAGGTAAATGATCACATTTGATGCGTGTAGAGTTGGGGTTGGGGGTCCGTGCTGGTCCTGGACACGGGAAGGAGGCCCTCTGAGAAAAAGCCCTGCTTTAGATGGTAAAAACCTAATTTAGGGATGTTTTTATGTGTGGGATAAAAGTCGAAAGTCACACCCAGGTTCTTCACTTGCTCAGAAGGGTTAAAACACAGTGATTGTATTTTTGGTAAAAGTTTCTCGCTGGGCCTCAGGACCGATGACTACAGCTGCAGTTTTGCTCTGGTTGAGCTGGAGAAAGCTTTCTGACATCCAGGATTTGATGTCCATTGGCTGTGTGTCATCAGGAGACACAGAGATGTACAAATGACCCGCACTTGTATAACGCCTCTCACAGTAAGGACTCCACAGCGCTTTACAATGTATCATTCATCCATTCACCCTTATGGTGATGAGCTACGATGTAGCCACAGCTGCCCTGGGGCACACTGACAGAGGCACCACCGGCCCCTTCGACCACCACCAGCAGGCAAGGTGGGTTAAGTGTCTTGCCCAAGAACACAACAGCAGAATTCTGTCCAGAGCCAGGATCGAACTTGCAACCTTCTGATTACTGGACAACCCGCTCAACCTGTTGAGCTACTGCTGCCCACAACTGTGTCTCATCAGCGTAGCTGTGGAAATCCACCCCGTGTCTCCTGATGACCCTGCCAAGAGGGAGCATATAAAGGTAAAAAAAAGCACTGGGCCCAAAATTGAACCCTGGGGCACACCACATGTAATCCCATGATCCCCAGAGGAACAGGTATCCAAACTCACCATAAGAGTCCTGTCTGTGAGGTAGGATGTGAACCATCGGTGGACTGCACCAGAGGCCGATCCGTTTTAAACAAGTTACAAGAGCAGTGTGGTCTACTGTATCAAAGGCAGCCCTGGGATCCAGTAGAACCGACGCCGTTACCCCTCAGGCATCATCATTTACTCTAAAATCATTTAAAATCGTCTCCGTGCTGTGGTTCACCCTAAAACCACACGGAGATTTCTCTTGTCTGAACATGGTGTTCATCCATGACTAGCACAGAAGTCCAATAACAAATAATAAACCACCGCTCGAATTCAAAGAATTAAAACTTTAATCTGATAAATTATAACGGGTTCTGTTTACATTTAAGGAGTCGTCTGGATGGAGTTTTATTTACAGTGCAGTCTCTAAGCTGTCATTCAGTCTGGTTACCATGACAACACAAGTTTGATCAGGGAGCAGAGGTGGTTCTGGTAGATGTAAAATAAAACATGGACCGGAATTGGATTTGTGCGGTTTATCTGGGATTCCAAATCCCAGCATGGCTCCAGATGGATCTGCCGTCAGCGCGCTCACGCGTTTCCTCCAGAGGAGCTCTGACAGGTCCTTCATAACAGCATAGAAACGATGTTTAATCCAACGCGTCTGAAGCAGCATCACGAGGATAAAATATAACATCTTACATAAAAATAATATGAATGAAAAAGATTAAGAACATCATAAAAACATGAACAGATTACAACAACGCCACATCCGTTCTACAGAGTCAGATTCCCATCAGGTGTTGTAGCACCAGTCATGTGACTCGGCACCAGTCATGTGACTCGGCACCAGTCATGTGGCTCAGCTCCGGTCATGTGACTCAGCATCATGTGACTCAGCACCGGTCATGTGACTCAGCTGTTTTTCCACTGAAGTATAAAATAATTAGAGACAAAAATAATTCAGTTCTAATTACAAATCACAGAGTGTTGAAGTCTTAGAGCTCACTACCAAAGCACACACACAACTCACGTTTCAGAAAGTTTGTTTAACTGAAAATCTACTTTATTTTGTGTGTGTGTGTGTGTGTGTGTTGATCACGGTGTGTTCAGGAGAGCCTGCTGGTCTTGTGGCAGTGAGCTGATCATGGAGTTAATAAAAGTGTTCAGTTTGTCTAAAACTCCATCTTTAACCTGCAGCTGCTGCTGGCCGGCTTTAATCTGAAAAACACAAACAGGAAGTTACATTTAAAGGGCGCTCCAGAAAAAACGTATTTTTGTTAAATTAAAGCACAGGGCGATGTTCCACGTAGCGAGCTAATCCCAAAATCCAGGCTCTCTTTGAAAATCCTGCCTTAATTCCCCCAAAGTCAATCCCACGAACGTGGCTGGCCGGAAGCCCCTCCCATTCGTCATGGCAACATGCTGGAGAACAAACCTGCTCCACGGCAGGGTAGCAGCTAGGCTAGCTGACACCTGGTGAATGTGATTGGACGAGGGATGTCATGTCCCCTTTTTCTTGTCAGCAGCTGTGAGGTGGTGAATTAGCACCCCTGCAGGCCAACAGCGGTAGCGGCAGCTGCAGCTTTGTTCTTGATGGCTAAGGCCGGATCTCAAGACTCGCCCTGCGGACTTCAGCAAAGTGCACGTGGAGAAAGTGCGCAGTAAGGCTTCGAGTGTGTAGTACACAAGTGTGCAAATAACTGCAGAATTGAGACAGGAAGCCTTGCGTCATCGATTGCAGCGCATGCCGGGATGCTGTCAATGCGATAATTTTTTCAAAAACCTTTATTAACAACTTTTAAACAAACAGCCAAACAGTTATTTGAAATAAATTTACATTTGTTGCTGCTTTGTCTAAATGCTTTAGAGCACCAACTAGATCACAAATCTGAGCCTTTTCTCCTGCAGCAATGACTTGTGGGTAATACCGCTGCCCGAGTGCCGCATCGCTGCGGACTTGGGTGCAGATTAAAGGTGCAATGGGGGCGTGGCCAACACTGGCACCCGGTGGAAGTGCGAGTATTGGGATTGGGCTTAAATTATTAATAAATGTGGAGTTTAAACGTTTAAACACGAGCTCTAACAGGACATACATCTAAACCTTTGATGTTTTAACTGGTCTTTAAACTATGATTATGCTGCTTTTATCCAAAATCACAAAACCTTTTCTAGTTCTTTAATCATTTTCTAAATTCTTTTTTATGTTTTTACATTTTTTGTTTTTGTGGAGCGCCTCGTGATCTTTATCTTCAGAGGCGCTCTTCTTCTCTGCTTTACATTGTTGTAACTTATACACTCACTGGCCACTTCAGGGGCGCCTTCAGGAAATTTTGATAGGGGTGGCCAGATGGGGTCCTCGAAATTTTTGGGGTGGCACACCAAATTGGTTCTTGTGGTAACTCTGGGAGACTTTAGTCTGTGGCGATGTGCTGCATTGCGCCTTTATTCATTTTTACTGAAATAACAGCACATACCCAAAACATTTAACTTAAATTTTACAAATGCAAACATTTTAGAAAAATATGTTTCAGTTATTTAAAATGTTACCCCAAATTTAATTTAAAATTGAGTATTTTAGGTTAATTCACCTGTTGCTGTGTTCACAAAAATAACTATGGAGATAAAAACTTTTAAATGGTGAGCAGCAGAAACATATTTTTTGTTCTGATTATTTCTTTACTCATTCATTGTAATATTTTTATTTTGTTTTATAATGATGTCTTGAATAAACAAGATTAATTTATGTTTGACTGAACATTAATATGATTTCCTAACACAGGCTTTTCCTGGGGGGGGCTAGCAATTTTCTACGGGCGGCCATGACCACCCCTGGCCACCCCTTGGGCCACTTTATTGGGTACACGCTAGTACCGTGTTGAACCTTTTCCTTCAGAACGGCCTTAAACCTGCCTGTAAAACGCATCACACTGCATTATGTAAGGCTGGGTTAACAAACGGTGCCTCTGCTCGCTAGATAAATCAACCCAGCTAACATTCAGACGTTTGACCACCGTTGAAATGACGTCAGCCCGAGATCTCGTCATGGTTCCAAACTAAAGTTGACCTTTACTGGCCGTGAAGTCTTCTGGCGTGTCTCATTTACACGTTTATTAATTAAAATGTGGGCGTCTTATTACTGTGTTAATAGATTACTGAGAAAAAAACTTTGACAACTGAGCCAAAATGTGCCATCCTGGACTAAAGCCTAACTTATACATCTCCATCAGCTCCACCAGGGACCGACACGCACTGATGGAGACGTTTTGTCCTCAGGCGTCTCCGTCTCCTGGGGAGTGTCACACAGCAGTTCCCCTCCAGGACACCAGAGGGCGTAGCGCTGCTCTGAGGTATCCTGTCATGTGTCCGGTCCAGGATAGTGTGTTTACATTCTGTTTTTGTATTTAAGAGGCCTTTTAACACAGACAGGTTTGTTCCTCATCCTCCTCCACCTCTTCATGCGCCCGCCCCTCTAAACCCACGTTTCCGTCATTTCCATGGGCTATGTAGCTGCTAACATAGCACGTGTAAAAGGAGACACTTTGTTGGTGTGACTATATGTGTACTCTGGTCACACGGGTCAAACACACTGATATTTTATTGAAATGACATACGTGATGGTTTTCGCTGCGGGTGTAATATGGGAGCTAAACGTGTATTTGTGACAGACTTTAGGGTCATGTGACCATAACCGTATATTCTTACAACTCACAGCTGCTCAGCAGGAACAAAGTCCTCCAGTCTAAAGACATCCAGACGCTGGAGTGCAACATGAAACTACATAAATGATGACAAGTGGAGTAAGATATGAAGAGAAACAGAGCTGAAGCAGACTCCCGGCGTTGCCATGGAAACATGGAAACTCGCAGCTTAACGGCTTTACTCCAGCCGCTGGTTGGGGTTAGGGTTTGTTGTAGTTCTGATCTCTGTGTAGTCCTCGTAGGCATGAATGAATAATTATTGCTCCTTCTGGGAGAAGAACGAGGCTCTGTCCTTTCCTTCCATTTTTATTTATCTAGCATCGATTAACAGGGTCTGCCTGTGGACCTCGTAAGAATCAGAAAGGATGGAATCCACCTGAGCATCACCAACAAATCACTGAATGAACAGGTGCGCTTTGTCGAGCAGGGATTTATCAGGAAGACCTCGATGTGTGAAGTTTAAACCTTTAACCTGAATCGAAGATAACGGCTAGGTTTTGTACACTAGGCTTTGCTGATGAGCAACCAGAAGCAACAGCCTATTTTATTTTAGGGTGAAGATCTGCTGCTGCAACAATCAGGCCCTCTGTCTTGTAGGCATTCAGAACAAGGAGGTTTCTGGAAAGCCAACTACTGATCTGGGTCAGACAAACAACTGGGGTGGACAACTTGTGAAGGACATGTACAGCTGAACATCATCAGCATAGAAGTGAGAGGAGCTGTCAGGGAAAGGCTGGATGATGGTGGCTTAAGGAGGAAAGAAAAGAGAAGATAGAAGACGATCTTTTCTATAGCGCCTCAAGGTAAAAATCACGAGGCGCTTCACAAAACCAAAAAAGCAAAATATAAAAAAGGTTTCAAAAAATGATTAAAAATATGTTTAAAATGAGAAAAAAATTGTGATTAAAAATATCAGGAAAGAGAGAGAGAGAATACCAAAGAGGGTTAGGAGAGAGGTCCAGAGTCTGGGGGCCACAGCAGCAGATGGTCTGTCACCTTTGACCTTTAGCCTGGTGCTGCACAACCAGTAGGCTTTGATCACTGGACCTCAGGGACCTGCTGGGGGTGTAGGGACTTAGAAGATCACCAATGTAAGATGGTGCTTGTCCATGTAAGGCCCTATAGACCAGAACCAGGATCTTGAAATGAACCCTGAAGTTGACTGGCAGCCAGTGAAGCTGGAGGAGAAGCGGGGTGATGTGGGTGTGTTTGGAGGACTTGGTCAGAAGCCGAGCACAGGCGTTCTGAACCACCTGTAGACGGTTCAGGGAGGTTCTGCTCAGACACGTGAAAAGAGAGTTACAGTAGTCTAAGCGTGAGGAGATGAAGGTGTGGAGAACTGTCTCAAGTTCAGAGCGGGACAGAATGGGACTCAGCTTAGCAACGTTCCTGAGATGGAAGAAGGAAGAGCCAACAAGAGAACTGACATGAGAATCCAGGGTGAGAGCTGGGTCAAAGGTCACGCCAAGATTCCTGACAGAAGGTTTGGTGTGGGAAGCAAGCTGACCAAGAGAGTCTCTGACTTTGGGAACCAGCTTGTCAGGGGCACAGATGAGGATCTCAGTCTGATCTTCATTCAGCTGAAGAAAGCTCCCACCATCCAGGTTTTGATAGAGTCTAAGCAGGTGTGTAACAGCTGCAGCTTAGACATCTCATGGGGCTTAAAGGAGATGTACAGCTGGATGTCATCTGCATAAAGATGGTAGGAGACTCCTTTGAAGGAGCTCAGGATGTGCTGAAGAGGAAGCAGATAGAGGAGGAAGAGCAGAGGCCCCAGCACAGAACCTTGTGGGACACCATGGGTAAGGGAGGTGGTGGAGGACCTAAACTTGGAGACGGCCACAGAAAAGGAGCGCTCAGAGAGATAAGAGGAGAACCACTCCAGAGCAGATCCTGATAGGCCTACCCAGTCTCTCAGCCTCTCCAGTAGCAGGTGATGGTCAACAGTGTCAAAGGCTGCAGTCAGGTCCAGCAGGACCAGAACCAGAACAGTCCCCTGCATCACTGTGAGTCAGAAGGTCATTAGAGACCCTAAGAAGAGCTGTTTCAGTAGAATGAGCTCTACGAAAACCTGACTGGAAGCTATCATAGATGTTCTGTTCATCAAGAGCAGCTGGTGCAGCAGATGGACGTGGAGATGGGTTTTCTTCCACAAACGCTCAATTTTTCTGCATTGGCGCTTCAGGCTGGCTGCTGTTGGATACCTTGTTTTGTTCTTGAGCCCTTCCTTCTACCTGGTAATAAGATGTTTGGATTGAATGAAACCCCGCCTCCCCCTTTGTGATTTCTACCAACTGCAGACTTGGAGACCACAGATTCATGCCAACATTTCCCACTTTAACACCAAAACGTTTGCTGATCCCAACCCAGGCTGGTGGCTTCCATGCTGCTCTGACGCAGCGAGTCATGCTAAACGAGGCCGACCGAGCACCTTTCACAATCCGGATGTTTCTGGTTTAAATCTCCTCTGATTGGTCTGATGGAAGACCATTCCTTCTGGTATGACTTCAGCATTCCTCACCAGTTTCTCTTTGAGCTTCAGGATCAGGTCCACAATCTCCACCTCAGACTTGTCTTTGGTCCAGCCAAGCAGGTCCTGCACAGAACACGTCAGTAAGAGCAGTGATGGGTACAATGGTAAATGGCCCGGATTTGATATAGCGCCTTCTAGAGTCCTGGAACCCCCCAAGGCGCTTTACAACACAATCAGTCATCCACCCAGTCACACACTGATGGTGATGAGCTACAGTGTAGCCACAGCTGCCCTCGGGCGCACTGACAGAGGCGAGGCTGCCGAGCACTGGCGCCACCGGTCCCTCTGACCACCACCAGCAGGTAAGGGGGGTTAAGTGTTGCTCTACCTCCTGAGCTGCTGCTGCCTCCTCCTTCTTTGTCTAATCTTCCACTAATAAAGGTAGGGGGGGGGGGGGGGGGGGGGCATAGGCAGCCTGCAGGTTTCAACTTAGAAAATAGTTTCTTCAGATCCGACGTGAAGAGAAACTCACTGCATCACAGATCACCTCCAGGTGGAGGCTCTCCAGTTTCTGAGTCATCTCTTTGTGGCGCTGACGATACCAGCCATCAAAGTTAGGAGACCTGAAGAACTTCCTGAGGAAACAGAACAGAACAAGGAAGAGAACCACATCCATCCACACCAGAACTATCTCCAGCTCTGCTGCTACCTGTGGACTTACCTGTACAGACCCATCCAGTCCCCTCTGAGCAGGGAGGTGAGCTGAGGACCTGCATGGTCCAGAGTGGACAGGAACTCGTCCTGGTTGAAGGGACGAATCTGAGGAGGAGTCTGGGCAGCAACAACAATCTCATTATGAACAAAGCATCATCCACTCACAAGCTGAAGCTCTACACCTGATGGACAATCAGGGCAGCTGGAGCACTCGGGTGAGTAAACAACCTGTCCGTTCCACACCTGAGTGCTCCACATCTTATGGGTTAGCTGGGATATCAGCACCAACCAGCAACCTGCTGTTTACCTTCCAGGGTGTCACAGATCTCTGCAGGGGCATGAGGCTTGCCATGTATCGTTCCTGCCAGACAGCACACAGGGCGTAATGCTCCACGTCATCACTTCAGTAACAAGGAGAGAAATCAGCTGGAAGGAAGGCGTTTCTCACCAGAGGGATGATGAAGCTCTGCGTCAGCTCCAGCAGGTGTCTCCTCAGAATGGCGCTCTGAACCTCTGATGGTCTCTTCCTCTGGATCCCCTACAGACCCACAAAACACGTCTGAGTCACGGCCTCCTACTCCTCAGATCATCTAGAACCTGCTCACCTTCAGTAGTCTTTTGACAAAAATCTTGTCTTTGTGTAGAAACGACTTGTAGGAGGTGTAGATCCCTGCGAACACACACGCGTGTTTCACACAACCGGCTGCAGAGAGAACAGGTGCAGCAGAAGCTGGTCTTGTTACCTGGTTTGGTGTCGAGGGTCTTTAATTTGCTCAGTTTCTTCACCTTCACCTGCTTCGGTAGATCACCTGGGCACATACAGGTGTGTTTTAACATGGATAGAAAGGAGAATCCACACAGGTAATACAAAGTTTCACCACCAGGGGGCGAGTCTGACAAAAGAACCTGCATGAGGTCTGACCGTTTAACAGCTAACCTCAGATGGTCCAGAGATCTCGTTTATAAAGCATCGTTACTAAAACCGTACTCAAGCTGAGCAGAAAGACGTGCTTACGCCTAGCAGCTCTGTGACTAGCAAACATGGAGGACGCACAGCTGCACGCGATCTCCGCTTCATAAATCACACGCTAGCTAGAAATGTTCTCAGGTGTTTCTGAAATACACATCCCACCCTCAGGGCGCGTGACGCTCACCCTGTCACATTTACATAGCTAATGTTTAGCACACAGTTCATTAAACTACAAGGACCACATCACACAGCTTATTAAACTACAAGAAGCCACCATCACAGTTTATTAAACTACAAGGAGCCACCATCACAGTTTATTAAACTACAAGGAGCCACCATCACAGTTTATTAAACTACAAGGAGCCACCATCACACAGATTATTAAACTACAAGGAGCCACCATCACACAGCTTATTAAACTACAAGGAGCCACCATCACAGTTTATTAAACTACAAGGAGCCACCATCACACAGCTTATTAAACTACAAGAAGCCACCATCACAGTTTATTAAACTACAAGGAGCCACCATCACAGTTTATTAAACTACAAGGAGCCACCATCACACAGCTTATTAAACTACAAGAAGCCACCATCACAGTTTATTAAACTACAAGGAGCCACCATCACAGTTTATTAAACTACAAGGAGCCACCATCACAGTTTATTAAACTACAAGGAGCCACCATCACACAGATTATTAAACTACAAGGAGCCACCATCACACAGCTTATTAAACTACAAGGAGCCACCATCACAGTTTATTAAACTACAAGGAGCCACCATCACACAGCTTATTAAACTACAAGGAGCCACCATCACACAGCTTATTAAACTACAAGGAGCCACCATCACACAGCTTATTAAACTACAAGGAGCCACCATCACAGTTTATTAAACTACAAGGACCACCATCACAGTTTATTAAACTACAAGGAGCCACCATCACAGTTTATTAAACTACAAGGAGCCACCATCACAGTTTATTAAACTACAAGGAGCCACCATCACAGTTTATTAAACTACAAGGACCACCATCACAGTTTATTAAACTACAAGGAGCTACCATCACAGTTTATTAAACTACAAGGAGCCACCATCACAGTTTATTAAACTACAAGGAGCCACCATCACAGTTTATTAAACTACAAGGACCACCATCACAGTTTATTAAACTACAAGGACCACCATCACAGTTTATTAAACTACAAGGAGCCACCATCACAGTTTATTAAACTACAAGGAGCCACCATCACAGTTTATTAAACTACAAGGAGCCACCATCACAGTTTATTAAACTACAAGGAGCCACCATCACAGTTTATTAAACTACAAGGAGCCACCGTCATACAGTTTATTAAACTACAAGGAGCCACCATCACAGTTTATTAAACTACAAGGAGCCACCATCACAGTTTATTACACTACAAGGAGCCACCATCACAGTTTATTTAACTACAAGGAGCCACCATCACAGTTTATTTAACTACAAGGAGCCACCATCACAGTTTATTAAACTACAAGGAGCCACCATCACAGTTTATTAAACTACAAGGAGCCACCATCACAGTTTATTAAACTACAAGGAGCCACCATCACAGTTTATTAAACTACAAGGAGCCACCATCACACAGCTTATTAAACTACAAGGAGCCACCATCACAGTTTATTTAACTACAAGGAGCCACCATCACAGTTTATTAAACTACAAGGAGCCACCATCACACAGCTTATTAAACTACAAGGAGCCACCATCACAGTTTATTAAACTACAAGGAGCCACCATCACACAGCTTATTAAACTACAAGGAGCCACCATCACACAGCTTATTAAACTACAAGGAGCCACCATCACACAGCTTATTAAACTACAAGGAGCCACCATCACAGTTTATTAAACTACAAGGACCACCATCACAGTTTATTAAACTACAAGGAGCCACCATCACAGTTTATTAAACTACAAGGAGCCACCATCACAGTTTATTAAACTACAAGGAGCCACCATCACAGTTTATTAAACTACAAGGACCACCATCACAGTTTATTAAACTACAAGGAGCTACCATCACAGTTTATTAAACTACAAGGAGCCACCATCACAGTTTATTAAACTACAAGGAGCCACCATCACAGTTTATTAAACTACAAGGACCACCATCACAGTTTATTAAACTACAAGGACCACCATCACAGTTTATTAAACTACAAGGAGCCACCATCACAGTTTATTAAACTACAAGGAGCCACCATCACAGTTTATTAAACTACAAGGAGCCACCATCACAGTTTATTAAACTACAAGGAGCCACCATCACAGTTTATTAAACTACAAGGAGCCACCATCATACAGTTTATTAAACTACAAGGAGCCACCGTCATACAGTTTATTAAACTACAAGGAGCCACCATCACAGTTTATTAAACTACAAGGAGCCACCATCACAGTTTATTTAACTACAAGGAGCCACCATCACAGTTTATTTAACTACAAGGAGCCACCATCACAGTTTATTTAACTACAAGGAGCCACCATCACAGTTTATTAAACTACAAGGAGCCACCATCACAGTTTATTAAACTACAAGGAGCCACCATCACAGTTTATTAAACTACAAGGAGCCACCATCACACAGCTTATTAAACTACAAGGAGCCACCATCACAGTTTATTTAACTACAAGAAGCCACCATCACAGTTTATTAAACTACAAGGAGCCACCATCACACAGTTTATTAAACTACAAGGAGCCACCATCACACAGTTTATTAAACTACAAGGAGCCACCATCACAGTTTATTAAACTACAAGGAGCCACCATCACAGTTTATTAAACTACAAGGAGCCACCATCACACAGTTTATTAAACTACAAGGAGCCACCATCACAGTTTATTAAACTACAAGGAGCCACCATCACAGTTTATTAAACTACAAGGAGCCACCATCACAGTTTATTAAACTACAAGGAGCCACCGTCACAGTTTATTAAACTACAAGGAGCCACCATCACAGTTTATTAAACTACAAGGACCACCATCACAGTTTATTAAACTACAAGGAGCCACCATCCCAGTTTATTAAACTACAAGGAGCCACCATCACAGTTTATTAAACTACACGGACCACCATCACAGTTTATTAAACTACAAGGAGCCACATCAAAGTTGATTAAACTACAAGGAGCCACCATCACAGTTTATTAAACTACAAGGAGCCACCATCACAGTTTATTAAACTACAAGGAGCCACCATCACAGTTTATTAAACTACAAGGAGCCACCATCACACAGCTTATTAAACTACAAGGACCACCATCATAAAGTTTATTAAACTACAAGGACCACCATCATACAGTTTATTAAACTACAAGGACCAACCATCATACAGTTTATTAAACTACAAGGACCACCATCATACAGTTTATTAAACTACAAGGACCACCATCACAGTTTATTAAACTACAAGGAGCCACCATCACAGTTTATTAAACTACAAGGACCACCATCATACAGTTTATTAAACTACAAGGACCACCATCATACAGTTTATTAAACGACAAGGAGCCACCATCATACAGTTTATTAAACTACAAGGAGCCACCATCACAGTTTATTAAACTACAAGGAGCCACCATCACAGTTTATTAAACTACAAGGAGCCACCATCACAGTTTATTAAACTACAAGGAGCCACCATCACAGTTTATTAAACTACAAGGAGCCACCATCACATTTTATTAAATTACAAGGAGCCACCATCACATTTTATTAAACTACAAGGAGCCACCATCACAGTTTATTAAACTACAAGGAGCCACCATCACAGTTTATTAAACTACAAGGAGCCACCATCACAGTTTATTAAACTACAAGGAGCCACCATCACAGTTTATTAAACTACAAGGAGCCACCATCACACAGTTTATTAAACTACAAGGAGCCACCATAACAGTTTATTAAACTACAAGGAGCCACCATCACAGTTTATTAAACTACAAGGAGCCACCATCACAGTTTATTAAGCTACAAGGAGCCACCATCACAGTTTATTAAACTACAAGGAGCCACCATCACAGTTTATTAAACTACAAGGACCACCATCATACAGTTTATTAAACTACAAGGACCACCATCATACAGTTTATTAAACTACAATGAGCCACCATCATACAGTTTATTAAACTACAAGGAGCCACCATCACAGTTTACTAAACTACAAGGAGCCACCATCACAGTTTATTAAACTACAAGGAGCCACCATCACAGTTTATTAAACTACAAGGACCACCATCACAGTTTATTAAACTACAAGGACCACCATCACAGTTTATTAAACTACAAGGAGCCACAATCACAGTTTATTAAACTACAAGGAGCCACCATCACAGTTTATTAAACTACAAGGAGCCACCATCACAGTTTATTAAACTACAAGGATACACCATCACAGTTTATTAAACTACAAGGATACACCATCACAGTTTATTAAACTACAAGGAGCCACCATCACAGTTTATTAAACTACAAGGATCCACCATCACAGTTTATTAAACTACAAGGAGCCACCATCACACAGTTTATTAAACTACAAGGAGCCACCATCACAGTTTATTAAACTACAAGGAGCCACCATCACAGTTTATTAAACTACAAGGAGCCACCATCACAGTTTATTAAACTACAAGGAGCCACCATCACAGTTTATTAAACTACAAGGATCCACCATCACAGTTTATTAAACTACAAGGAGCCACCGTCACAGTTTATTAAACTACAACGAGCCACCATCACAGTTTATTAAACTACAAGGAGCCACCATCACAGTTTATTAAACTACAAGGAGCCACCATCACACAGCTTATTAAACTACAAGGACCACCATCATAAAGTTTATTAAACTACAAGGACCACCATCATACAGTTTATTAAACTACAAGGACCAACCATCATACAGTTTATTAAACTACAAGGACCACCATCATACAGTTTATTAAACTACAAGGACCACCATCTAAGTTTATTAAACTACAAGGAGCCACCATCACAGTTTATTAAACTACAAGGACCACCATCATACAGTTTATTAAACTACAAGGACCACCATCATACAGTTTATTAAACGACAAGGAGCCACCATCATACAGTTTATTAAACTACAAGGAGCCACCATCACAGTTTATTAAACTACAAGGAGCCACCATCACAGTTTATTAAACTACAAGGAGCCACCATCACAGTTTATTAAACTACAAGGAGCCACCATCACAGTTTATTAAACTACAAGGAGCCACCATCACATTTTATTAAATTACAAGGAGCCACCATCACATTTTATTAAACTACAAGGAGCCACCATCACAGTTTATTAAACTACAAGGAGCCACCATCACAGTTTATTAAACTACAAGGAGCCACCATCACAGTTTATTAAACTACAAGGAGCCACCATCAGTTTATTAAACTACAAGGAGCCACCATCACACAGTTTATTAAACTACAAGGAGCCACCATCACAGTTTATTAAACTACAAGGAGCCACCATCACAGTTTATTAAACTACAAGGAGCCACCATCACAGTTTATTAAGCTACAAGGAGCCACCATCACAGTTTATTAAACTACAAGGAGCCACCATCACAGTTTATTAAACTACAAGGAGCCACCATCACAGTTTATTAAACTACAAGGACCACCATCATACAGTTTATTAAACTACAATGAGCCACCATCATACAGTTTATTAAACTACAAGGAGCCACCATCACAGTTTATTAAACTACAAGGAGCCACCATCACAGTTTATTAAACTACAAGGAGCCACCATCACAGTTTATTAAACTACAAGGACCACCATCACAGTTTATTAAACTACAAGGACCACCATCACAGTTTTTTAAACTACAAGGAGCCACAATCACAGTTTATTAAACTACAAGGAGCCACCATCACAGTTTATTAAACTACAAGGAGCCACCATCACAGTTTATTAAACTACAAGGAGCCACCATCACAGTTTATTAAACTACAAGGATACACCATCACAGTTTATTAAACTACAAGGAGCCACCATCACAGTTTATTAAACTACAAGGATCCACCATCACAGTTTATTAAACTACAAGGATCCACCATCACAGTTTATTAAACTACAAGGAGCCACCATCACACAGTTTATTAAACTACAAGGAGCCACCATCACAGTTTATTAAACTACAAGGAGCCACCATCACAGTTTATTAAACTACAAGGAGCCACCATCACAGTTTATTAAACTACCATGAGCCACCATCACAGTTTATTAAACTACAAGGATCCACCATCACAGTTTATTAAACTACAAGGAGCCACCGTCACAGTTTATTAAACTACAAGGAGCCACCATCACAGTTTATTAAACTACAAGGAGCCACCATCACAGTTTATTAAACTACAAGGAGCCACCGTCACAGTTTATTAAACTACAAGGAGCCACCGTCACAGTTTATTAAACTACAAGGAGCCACCATCACAGTTTATTAAACTACAAGGACCACCATCACACAGTTTCGTCATGGGTAACCTGTTGTCAGCCATCCTTTGAGATGTTTTCATGGAGGACTTGGAACAGAAAGCCGTAGCCACCGCCCCCCCAAACGACAAAATAAAACTATGGAAACGCTGCGTAGACGACATACTGGAGATCATACCAACATGACAAACAGACACCAACATCACCTGAACAATGCTGACGACACAGATAACTCACGTGTGGAGGAAAGAGAAGGCAGTATGACCTTCATAAGCAGACAGACAGACGTGACCCTAAACATAAACACATACAGGAAACCACACCAACATTCATTATGGACATCACAACACCCCACTACACATAAACTGTCAGTGATCCACCGAGTAAACATGATAACAGAAGAACTACACCAAGCATGGGCAATAAACAAAGGGCGATGGTGGCATAGGAGTTAAGAGCTCGACCCGTAATTGGAAGGTTGCAGGTTCGAGCCCTGCTCAGTCGTTGTGTCCTTGGGCAAGACACTTAACCCACGTTGCCTGCTGGTGGTGGTCGGAGGGACCGGTGGCGCCTGTCAATGCGCCCCAGGGCAGCTGTGGCTACACGGTAGCTCATCCCCACCAGCGTGTGAATGGGTGAATGACTGATGGTGTTGTGAAGCGCCTTGGGGGGTTGTAGAGCCCTAAGATGCTATACAAATACAGACCATTTACCATTAGCAGTATTTTGGTTTGACCTCTGGTTGATGGAAAGGGCTCTATGAATGATGATGATGATGACGATGAAGGTGGAAAAGGAAGAACAGCATATGCGGTCTACCTGCCATCCTGATGTCTCCTAATCGGACAACATGAGGCCAGTTCTGGAACGTTTTGATGAAGAACGGGTTGGTGACTCCAAGAACTACATTAGGCCTGAAGGACCAGAAGACACAAACAGCAGATGTTTTACAGGTGAAACACAGGTGTGTGTTTACCGACCCAGGTGTGTAAGACTTACGGCGCCTGAGTCCTCGTGGTATACTCTCTGAACTCACTGTCATGGATGGTAAAGTAGGGTCGAAAGTCACAGCAGAACTTCAGAGGACTGATAGAGCTGAAGGTCGACACACGGTTACCACGGTAACAACATCAGCAGTGCTTTGTGATTGGCTGTCAGCGTCAGACTGAAATACCTGACAAGTGCCAGGATGGTCTCTGAACAGACAGTTGGGGATGGCGCCATGACGACCAGTGGCTCCCCAAGCAGCATGAGCTCCCACATCATCTGCAGATGGAACAGAACCGACTGGAAACACCTGAGCAGAGCACAGGTGAGACTCACCTGCTGACACTTACATAAACTGGTCATGGCTAACATAAAAGGGTTGTACAGGTGAGATACAGGTGTGTTGTAAAAGCAAACACTTTACTTGAACATGTCCAGTTCGTGAATGGTCTGCAGCAGCATGGGGGCCGGGACGAGACTCTGAAGAGGAAAACTTTATTAACAACAAAAGCCGAGTGACGGAGGATAAGACACACTATGACCTCTGACCTCTTTGAGTGTCTGTCTGACGGGACTTCCTGCTGGTTTGTCTGTTTTTGAAGGAATCCTCACCTAAAACACCAACAGAAAGGTTCATGTGACATCACGTGTCAGAGACCTTCAGCCAATCAGGAGAGCCTGCTACCATCTGATGGTCATTCTGGCAGCATGCCCTCTCACCATGCAGACCTACCCGGTGAGGCGGAGTTAATATCAGGAAGGAATAAGCTCCAGAACAGACTCCTCAGAGCGGGCATGTGTTTACCGTCATCTGGACTCTCTCAGGTCGTCCTGTCTTTAAAGAGAAACTAAACGCGGGTCTTAGCGATCTTCCTGTTTCTGTGCCTTTTTTATATCTAGAAAGGGTTAATACCATAAGATTTCTTGGTGTGATCATTGACCATAAGGCCTGTTGGAAATCACACATCACCTACGTGAGGGGAAGTTAGCGCGGGGCATTGCCGTCGGGGAAAGTAAAACATTTTCTGGATAGGAAAACATTACATATGTTATAATGTGCTTTACTATTACCATACATGAGTTATTGTGTAGAAGTTTGGGGAAACACACGTATAAAAGTAATATTCAGACTATAATCATAATGCAGAAAAGGGCTGTTAGACTAATAAATCAGGAGGGGTATAGGGCTCACACAAACACACTTTTATTAAGACGCAAGCTTTAAAATTCCAGGACCTGGTCAAGTTTAAAACAGTACAAATAATATCTAAGGCAAGGAAAGGGATGCTCCCTCTTGAAATAAGTGAATGGTTCTTAGAAAGAGAAGGGAGGTATAGTTTTAGAGGGAAGTGTGATTTAAAGTACAACGAGTAAGAACAACATTGAAAAGGATGTCTATCTCTATAGCGGGCGTTAAATTCTGGAATGAGTTACCAGAAGAAATAAAGGTCAGTAGTGATGTAAACCAGTTAAAATAAAACTAAAACAAGAAATGTTAAATAAGTATAAGAACGAAGAAAAGGCGAGTAGCCCAGGACGGCATGAAAACTGATGTTTGATCTCTTCTACAAATGAGCAAATCTAAATATAGTTCTAGTGGAACATGAGAATTATTTTTATTTTTGTTTGAAGGCATTGAAAATGTTTTGTTGTTCAAACTGAGATGATGAGGATGTAAACCTGAGGGGGTGGGGCTAGATAAGTACATACTTCTGCCTGCTCCTTTTCAAACAACTGCTTGGAAGGATTTTATGAAATGTTGGTGAATGTATATGTTTGAAATAAAATGAACTGAACATTCGTATCAATTATGTGACACACTTTTTGGTTTGTACCGCGTCTGCCCGGCTTTGTTTCCTTCTCTTTGACATTCCCACTACATCTGTGACTGCTAGCTGTGTGTTTACCATCTTTCTACACCCACCATGTCCTGAACACGGTCAAATAATCTTTAGATCATGTGTGATTCACATGAAGCACACATGATCTGATGCTGCTTGCAGCATCGTCACTTTCATTTTCACTGGACGAGTCACGAACCACGATCTTGTCAGAGGGTGACTATTACTCTTCAGAGTCAGCCATTACCACACAGAGAGCTTTGTCTACAGTGAACAGACCTGTCAGCATGGTAAGTTTCTCCTCTCTACTAAATGATATTCACCCACTGTGTGCTCTCGTCCTCTCCCCAGTCGGGAGTCTCGGACGGGGGGCAGTTTTCAAACTCTAAACTCCAAACATGTCAATAGAAACACCCAAAAGTGTTGCTCAGACTGAAGTCACACATCTCCACCATCTCCTGGTGTAAAGCAATGACGTCATACGGGATTATATTTGCAGCTGTGGTTCGTTAAATGCAATATTGCAACTTTGGTGCTTAAAGTGTTAATTTTACAGTCCTCAGCGGGCCTTTCAGTTATAATCCTGTACAATTATTCATTTTTCTTTATAATTTTTGATTATTTCATGTACACGAGTGACGTCATGCGAAACGTTTTATTTAGAGTTCTAATTTTGTACATTAATATGTCAGTGGCGGAGCTTTGGATGTGGTAGGGCTGTCGTGGTTGACCTGCAACATTGCGTGGTCATCGGGGGCAGTTCCTGTGGAGTGGCAGACCGGGGTGGTGGCCCCCATCTTTAAGAAGGGTGACCTGAGGGTGTGTTCCAACTATAGGGGGATCACACTCCTCAGCCTCCCTGGAAAGGTCTACTCCAAGGTACTGGAGAGGAGGGTCCGATCGATAGTTGAATCTCAGATAGAGGAGGAGCAATGTGGTTTTGGTCCTGGCCGTGGAACTGTGGACCAGCTCTATACCCTTGCAAGGGTGATGGAGGGGGCATGGGAGTTTGCCCAACCAATCCACATGTGTTTTGTGGATTTGGAGAAGGCTTATGACCGTGTCCCCAGGGGCACCCTGTGGGGGACGCTCCAGGAGTATGGGGTGGGTGGCTTTCTGTTAAGGGCCATTGAGTCCCTTTACCAGAGGAGCGTGAGTTTGGTCCGCATAGCCGGTAGTAAGTCGGACCTGTTCCCGGTGAGGGTTGGACTCCACCAGGGCTGCTCTTTGTCACCGGTTCTGTTCATTACCTTTATGGACAGAATTTCTAGGTGGTGGTGTTGAGGGTGTGGAGTTTGGTGGCAGGAATCTCACCTCTGCTTTTTGCGGATGATGTGGTCCTCCTAGCTTCATTCAGCTCTGGCCTTCAGCTCTTGCTGGGTGGGTTCGTAGCCAAATGTGAAGCAGCTGGGATTAGGGTTGTCACGGTAACCGGTGTAGCGGTAAACCCCAGTAAAAAAGTTGACAATAATAATAACCGTCTTGTTTTTAAAAACTATATTATCTCGGTGGGTTACCGTGGCTGCGGTGTAGGCGCGGTGACCCTTACCAGACACCGTATCATCTGCTGAAGTTGCCGGCGGCACATGCGCACTTTGTTGTTTACAACCAAAACTTTCTTGAAGCTAAAGCTGAAATAATGGCCAAAGGAGGAGATGGCAGCGCTCAGGACATTTATTGTGCCTCAAAGAAGACAAAGTGGGAAGTACGGGCGTTTTTTGGATATTTGAAGAATGCCGAGGGACAGCTGATAGAAGACGGCTATCCTGTTTGCAGCACGTGCAGAAAAAGTGTCTGTGAAAGGCAGCAACGCTTCAAATCTCATGACACATCTGCGTGACCATCACCCACAACTCTACAGTCAACGCAAGGCAAGCTAACGTTAGCGTTTTAGCTAAAATGCGTGATCCGAGGATTTGGGTTGAGGGATCATGCAACGAGTCGCTATATAAAGCAGCCGCAGCGCCGCTACCTGCATATAAACCGTGTCGCTGACACCGCCATGTTGAAATGACGCTATGCATTACGGGGCTCCCAGGGGCAGATAAGAGTTGGTCTCTCTCCGAGAATAATTATGAATTTAACAACGATTACTGCCTGATGACATTTTCCCACATCTGCAAAGCTCACTGGAAGGACACAAACCGAGGACAATATTTTCCTGATATAGGGTTTATTACTCAAGTAAGGGTAAAAAAGTATCTGAGTAGAAGGCTACTTGAGTACTGAGTATCATCTGATGTAATATTTTTAAAATGATGACATCAAACAGACATAAAAGAAGAAGTTATGGGCAAATATTGGTATTTTAAAGACTAAAGGGAAAAAATGTAAACAAATAAACAACATAATTACAAAATAACACATTTTAGGCTAAATTTAGACACAAACTGAGGACAATATTTCCTGACATACAGGGTTTATTTCATTGTGTGAAAATGTAAAACGTTTAAAAAAATACCGCGATAATACCGAAAACCGTGGTAATTTTGGTCACAATAACCGTGAAGTTAAATTTTCACACCGTGACAACCCTAGCTGGGATGAGGATCAGCACCTCTAAGTCTGAGACCATGGTTCTGGACCGGAAAAGGGCGGCTTGCCAACTCTGAGTCGGGAGAGAGGTCCTACCTCAAGTGGAGGAGTACAAGTATCTCGAAGTCTTGTTCACGAGTGAGGGTAGGAGGGATCGGGAAATCGACATGCAGAATGGGTCAGCGCTGAACCGGTCTGTTGTGGTGACGAAGGAGCTGAGCCGGAAAGTAAGGCTCTCGATTTACCAGTCCATCTACCACCCAGTCCTCACCTACGGCCACGAGCTTTGGGTAATGACCGAAAGAACAAGATGGCAGATGCCAGCAGCCGAAATGAGTTTTCTTCGCGGGGTGGCCGGGCTCAGCCTTAGGGATAGGGTGAGGAGCTCGGACATTCAGGAGGGACTCGCAGTAGAGCCGCTGCTCCTCCGGATCGAGAGGAGCCAGTTGAGGTGGTTTGGGCATCTGGTCAGGATGCCTCCTGGATGCCTCCCTGGGGAGGTGTTTCGGGCATGTCCTGCCAGCAGGAGGCCCCCGGGTCGACCCAGGACACGTTGGAGAGGTTACATCTCCAATCTGGTCCGGGAACGCCTTGGGGTCCTGCCGGAAGAGCTTGTGGAGAAGGCCGGGGAGAGGACAGTCTGGAGCTCCCTAGTTGGGGTAGTGCCCCCACAACCCGGACCCGGATGAAGCGGAAGATGACGAGAGTTATGTCAGTGCTAAATAAATATTTTAATGGTTTTGTAATTTTTTTGATTGCAATGCCTCAATTTTAGTGAGGATAGTACACATCGTAGCCATGAATGCTATGGTTCTTATTCCTGACGCGATGATCTCTTTTGCTGTTTCGGTTTTTCAGCCTTGGTTTCCTCATTTTCGGTTTTGCCCAAGTATTTTCATTTCAGTGCATCCCGAATAATAAGGGAAATAAAATCAAAGTTAAAACAGCCTATGGTTTGTACAGATAATACCGTTGGTACTCTTCAGTCAATGATAGAAAAACCCACAGTGGTCACAGAAATAACTTGATCGGACAAAAGTGATAATAAATGATGTACCCATAGAAAAGACAGCATAATGTGACCAATGGGCAATGCCCACTAGTTAGCATCACAGGCGTTTACAATCTTGCCATCAGTCAGTGGACCTATATAAAGGGCTTCAGGTAGTCACAGTGTTGTTGGTGACATGGTGGGTATCACACTCTACATGAACCAGAAGAAGCAAAGGAAAGTTGTCTCAGGAGATTACAAAGAGAGTCTAGACAAGCAGGTAAAGGCTGTCAGACCATCTCCCAGCAGCTAGAAGTTCCCGTGACTACAGTTGAACGTGTTACTCATGGGACTGTGGCCAACCTTCCTGGACGTGGCCGCAAGAGGAAAACTGATGACAAAGCAAAGAGATGGATATTCTGCTTTTAATGTTGATAGTTGGTCTTTTAAATGTTAACCTTTTAGTCGTGTTTAAGTGTGTCTTGTTTCCTTTTGGCATTATTTTAATAACACTCTCCATCGGTTGTTTTTAGAACCTTTTATGACCATTAAACCCATTTTAACTCCACTGTTCACCAGTCAGACTGATTTTACCACCCAGACGTGAGCTCACATTCATCGTCTCAGTTGTCTTGTTTCAACCATCATTCATCATAACTTGTTCTGTGTCCTCATCAGTAGTAGAAATATAACATTAAACAGGTTTTTATAAACTATATTTTTGCCTCTGACTCAAATTATTACGAAGCTGTGGTTTCCCTGAACGACCAAGACCAGCTTTCATCTGGGATCAAACAGCAAACATCTAATATATGGAATATTGCATCTTATTGATCGTTTAGTAAAGCAACCACTTACATGACGCTACAGAGGCCACAGAGACCAGCACGGGATACAAAAGGTGTGTTTTATAACAAGTCCACTTCCATCTGATGTTGTTCTCCACCTTCTAACCGTGCTGATCTACACCTCCCAGTGTCTTATCGCCCCTCGGAGGAAAAGTGCTGGGTTCATGTGACAGGAACACATTCTCTTGCGAAACACCCATTATGATTGCAATACATACGTTTACCCTCACCTATAGACCACACCCCTTTCTGCTCACCTGTAGGATGACACCCAGGACAGGCAGGGTAAGCATCTGACCAGGCGTGGGGGCAGGCCACTGGTCTATCTCATTGCACACTGTGAGGATGAGGAGTACAAACACTGAAGTTATCGGGGCTGGTTAAGCCCGGTTCTCCAGGCTCCTCTCCAGAATGTTTTAGTTGTTCCTCTGCTCCAGGGGTTCAATCACCTGTTCAGCAGCTCCTCAAGCTGTGCAAAAGCCTGTTAATCACCTGCTGGATCAAACCAGGTGTGTTGGAGCAGAGAAAAGACTGAAACAAGCTGGATGGCGGCCCTTGAGGACCAGCGTAGCCCAAGCCGGAGTTAAATTCTATGATGACTGTATGACATCATCACCTGTTTCCAAGCATGGCTCAAGCTTCTCAAAGTACTCAGGTGCGATGATCTGAAGCAGCGAGTGAAACAGGTGTGTGTACGGCAACTTGGACACCAACACTAGGGACTGAAAAACAGGCAGATGACTACAAGTAAGACAAACCCACAGCAGACAGGTGACAACAGGTGACTTACCTTCTGAAAGTAGCCTCTCTTGACAGAGACGTCCTTCACTTGTCGAAAATAAACGTAACCAAAGAAATGTGCAGTCTCTTTCTGTGAGGAAAGCAGGAAGCAAAGCCCCTGAGATCAAAACTCACCTGCTTTTTAGTCCTGCTGCAGGTGTGTGTCTCTCACCTGCAACGTGACAGGCGCGTCTCTGTTGTAGACGTCCTCTCTGGATGACCTGCGACCCACAGACTGACGTAACCTGAAGGTGAACTTGGTGTCCCCCAGACATCCTGTTGAATCACATCCACATCACGTGACCTCTGAGTGGCCTTGAGCGGTGTGCAGGTTCCTTCCTAAAGCTGCTCTTTACTTCCCTTACTGTGAGTTTTCTTCTAATGCACAGAGAAGGTCCGTAACGGTCAGTGGGAACAGGTTTCAGTGGGAACATGTTTCAGTGGGAACAGGTTTCAGTGGGAACATGTTTCAGTGGGAACAGGTTTCAGTGGGAACATGTTTCAGTGGGAACATGTTTCATTGGGAACATGTTTCAGTGGGAACATGTTTCAGTGGGAACATGTTTCAGTGGGAACATGTTTCATTGGGAACATGTTTCAGTGGGAACATGTTTCAGTGGGAACATGTTTCTTCATTGGGAACATGTTTCATTGGGAACATGTTTCATTGGGAACATGTTTCAGTGGGAACATGTTTCAGTGGGAACATGTTTCATTGGGAACATGTTTCAGTGGGAACATGTTTCAGTGGGAACATGTTTCTTCATTGGGAACATGTTTCATTGGGAACATGTTTCATTGGGAACATGTTTCAGTGGGAACATGTTTCAGTGGGAACATGTTTCAGTGGGAACATGTTTCATTGGGAACATGTTTCAGTGGGAACATGTTTCAGTGGGAACATGTTTCTTCATTGGGAACATGTTTCAGTGGGAACATGTTTCAGTGGGAACATGTTTCAGTGGGAACATGTTTCTTCATTGGGAACATGTTTCAGTGGGAACATGTTTCTTCATTGGAAACATGTTTCAGTGGGAACATGTTTCAGTGGGAACATGTTTCTTCATTGGGAACATGTTTCAGTGGGAACATGTTTCATTGGGAACATGTTTCAGTGGGAACATGTTTCAGAGGGAACATGTTTCATTGGGAACATGTTTCAGTGGGAACATGTTTCTTCATTGGGAACATGTTTCAGTAGGAACATGTTTCAGTGGGAACATGTTTCAGTGGGAACATGTTTCATTGGGAACATGTTTCAGTGGGAACATGTTTCAGTGGGAACATGTTTCAGTGGGAACATGTTTCAGTGGGAACATGTTTCTTCATTGGGAACATGTTTCAGTGGGAACATGTTTCAGTGGCAACATGTTTCAGTGGGAACATGTTTCAATGGGAACATGTTTCAGTGGGAACATGTTTCAGTGGGAACATGTTTCAGTGGGAACATGTTTCAGTGGGAACATGTTTCAATGGGAACATGTTTCTTCATTGGGAACATGTTTCAGTGGGAACATGTTTCAATGGGAACATGTTTCAATGGGAACATGTTTCAATGGGAACATGTTTCTTCATTGGGAACATGTTTCAGTGGGAACATGTTTCTTCATTGGGAACATGTTTCAGTGGGAACATGTTTCAATGGGAACATGTTTCTTCATTGGGAACATGTTTCAGTGGGAACATGTTTCAGTGGGAACATGTTTCAGTGGGAACATGTTTCAATGGGAACATGTTTCTTCATTGGGAACATGTTTCAGTGGGAACATGTTTCAATGGGAACATGTTTCTTCATTGGGAACATGTTTCATTGGGAACATGTTTCAGTGGGAACATGTTTCAATGGGAACATGTTTCAATGGGAACATGTTTCAATGGGAACATGTTTCAATGGGAACATGTTTCAATGGGAACATGTTTCTTCATTGGGAACATGTTTCAGTGGGAACATGTTTCTTCATTGGGAACATGTTTCAGTGGGAACATGTTTCAATGGGAACATGTTTCAATGGGAACATGTTTCTTCATTGGGAACATGTTTCAGTGGGAACATGTTTCTTCATTGGGAACATGTTTCAGTGGGAACATGTTTCAATGGGAACATGTTTCTTCATTGGGAACATGTTTCAGTGGGAACATGTTTCAATGGGAACATGTTTCTTCATTGGGAACATGTTTCAGTGGGAACATGTTTCAGTGGGAACATGTTTCAGTGGGAACATGTTTCAGTGGGAACATGTTTCAGTGGGAACATGTTTCAGTGGGAAGATGTTTCATTGGGAACATGTTTCATTGGGAACATGTTTCAGTGGGAACATGTTTCACCGCTACACACACAGCATGTGTGAAAAGTAAATACTTAGCATGCTAAACGGGAAGCTAGAGGAGACAGCTGGGCTAGCGGCTATCACATACATACATAGTTTACATGTTATCCACATGCTCACATGCAAGTTTCATGTGCAACCGGCACTTCTAGCTAAGGCTGACTAGCCTTGGCTTGTTCACCTCACTGCTGATTGGCTGCTCGGACCTTGAGTTAAACCAATGCATCAGAAAGAAGGGGTGGAGCCAGGATCGATTGACAGCACAGGCTACCGATACACCTCAACACAGATATTGTAAATGTTTTCGGTGCTATGGCGTTTATGTTGCTAACAGATGTAGCCTAGCAAACAGCATCTCTTTGAAAAGTCTGAAAAATGTGTTTTTAACCGACTCTAGAACTACCGTGACACTAACTAGATGCTCCCTCGGTTTAGTCTGGGTTTGGAAAAAAACCTTACTACAGCTGCAAGTTGTGGCTTAAATCACAACGATTATCGGGCGCCATTTTGGTGGATTTTACTGAAGCTTTGGATTTAGTCGATCATTATTTGCTTTTGGATAAGCTTAAAGCAATCAGGCTGTCTAGAACTGCGTTATTCCATCCCTCCATCACCACTCGTGGTACCTCGTTGAAAGGATATGAATATAATAAATAAATATAAACGCAACACTTTTGTTTCTGCTCCCATTTTTCATGAGCTGGACTCAAACATCTGAAGCTGTGTCTACAAACACCAAACAGCCATGTTGTTCTGAATCTGTCTACATGTGTTAGCGACACGCCTCCTTTACCAAGATAACCCATCCCACCTCACAGGTGTGGCTCATCAAGGGGCTGATGACGCATGAATGATGTACAGGTGTGCCGGTTTAGACAGGTTGTGTTGTCTGAGCACATTTTTAGGGAACTGATTTTATTTCAGCTGCTAACCACGTTGCCGTCTCCACTTTCGTGCTGTACGGACAGATGGCCTCTCAAAAGCAACAAGTTACATCCTGAGGCTTTATCCTCTCAAAGAATATAAGTAAACAAGTAAATAAATAAATAAATAAATCTTCGAGGCTGGGCGTTTAGTTCAGACCAGCTCAGTCATTACATGTTTCCATGGAAACGCCCGGCATGTTGTGTGGAATAAAAATACTGTCAAATAACGTAAAACAAAATAATTTATCAAAAATATGTGACCTCTGACCTCACACTACACAGACCTTTACCTGAGTAGGAGTCTGGGAAGGACAGGTAGCAGATGCTGGTTTTCTGACGATAAAACAGTAAAAACAGTCAGCTTGTGACCAATTACCTGATCAATAGAGATTATTGATAATCACCTCTTTCTCAGTGAGCTTCACGTCCTGAGGATAAATCAACTGGAAGAGAGAGAGAGAGAGAGAGAGAGAGAATAAAAACACATACCAGGCCAATATTCACCGTTTACATACCGGCATCGGCCATCTTTACAACGTCCCTTTATAGTCAGGACCTTGTGCCCTCAGCCTGCCTTATTTTATTTAAATATATACTTAAGTTCCTAAAAAACCCAAGTGGTGCTCGCTGCAGAACCACAAAGGAGGAGCTGCACCAGAGTCAGCCCCGCCCATTCCTGAGTCAGCCCCGCCCATTCCATCAGAGTCAGTCCAGTTCCTTCCAGTTGTCAGACTTGATAGCATTCTGGAACCAAAGAGGGTGTTATAGCTAATATCATCTAAAATGCAAGATTGAGGACGGAGTTGAGAAGTTAACTGAACAGTTTTTGTAAAGCTTCCATATAATTAAAAATCTAACTTTTGGAACTTTTTACCGTGTTATATTGTCATTTCCTCATAAGAAACACGCCAAAGCCATTTTTGGCCTCATTCATGCATTGTCCTCCCATCTCAGCTTCTATTTGGTCTCCTCCCCTGAAGCGGGTCTGGTCTTGGTTCTCAAATCTGGATATTCTGTCAATTTTCTGACAAATTATTTCTGAAATGACTTCTACTGAGACACCGCCGGAAAAACCAAACATCCCATCTACAATGGCACAATTACATGTAACGCCACCTGCATGTTATCAGATATAGTGGTGAAGTGGTCATGGAGGCAGGTTGACATGCAGTTTTGCACAGGTTCACCTCCCCGAAGCGGCAGATTAAAGGTAGTTTATAACCCTTTTTCTTCTTTTCTAGCAACACTTGCCAGTACTATGTTTACAACCATTTATTGGTAAACCGTTTACAATATAATGACTAATGTGTTTGTTATTTTTATTTATTCGTTTATTTAGCCAGTGTGAGTCCATTTGTGAGCAGAGTTTAAACTAAAATGCTGTTTAGGAACGACCAAATTCAAAGAACTTTTAGAGACATAAGTATTTTGCAGAAAATAAACATTACAACTAAAATATAAACAAATTAAATGTTTCAGCTGGCTAAATAGATTGCTGACGACCCCACCGAGAGTCGAACCAGCATCAGCTGAGGGGAAAACAAAGCTTACATCAGACGAGCTTGCCACTGGACTACCAGAGTCCAAACAATAATACGCCTTAAATGCTGTTGTAGGCCGCTTTCGTTGGAGCGGCTGTGAGCAGATATTTGCTAAAAGAAACCTTTTCATTTCGGGATATATTCAGGCTTTGTCATGTAGCAAGTTATATTTATCTTGTTTAACTGGAGCAGAGAACATAGCATTGACTATTGTAAACTACGGTAAAATGATGTAATGTAATGTAATAATGTTATGCTTGTGATTTTTATCTGTATTTCCTCCTAAAAACAATAAAAAGATCCAGTAAAATCATTCTTGTTCACTCTTTAGCAGCAAGCTTGTTTATCATTTAGAAAGTTATGTAAAACGATGTAATCTCACTCAGTTTAACATCTTTTATTTCAGCTAGTTTCGTCCTCATAATGGACTAGAAGTTCTGTGGATTTGGAAATATTTGCTCTTGACTGCCTAACGGAAACACAATAAGGGAAACAGAATATTTCAGGGGAACATACTTTCCCACAACACCCGTTTCACGTGGATCACGAAGCCTCAATGTAAACAAAGTGGCTGCCGCTACCAGCTTATATGGACTACCAGCTTATAGCACGGTTTAGCTATAGCTGTGCTTCAACACGCCTGATTTCAGTCAGCAGGTGATTAACAGGCTTCTGCGAAGCTGTAGAAGATGCCAGGTCTTCTTTCTTCAGCAACCTCATATGTCAAAATAAGAATAATCCTAAGGTTTTGTTTGACACCATCTCCAGCATCGTGTCTTCTCCTCCGCAGCAGGCTCCGCTATCTTCAGCTGGTGACTGTAACAGATTTCTCCATCTTTTAGCCAACAAGGTGTTGAATCTGAGATCCAGCATTCCACCAGCCCTCGCCCCCTCAGGAGGTGAGGCCCCCCCAGTGCTCCGAGTCTTTCACCTCCTTCTCCCCAATTACACTAAATGACTTAACCTCAATAATCAGTCAGATGAAACTCTCATCGTGCTCATCAGATATCTTACCTCCCTCTGTTTTAGTCGGTCCCTTGCCTCTGTCAGTCCATCTCTGTTGACTATGATCAACAGCTCACTGAGCCAAGGCTGTGTTCCATCTTACTTTAAAAATGCAGTAGTGACTCCTCTCTCAAAGAAACCCAACCTTGACGCCAGCTCCACCAGTAACTTTAGGCCCATTTCTAAGCTACCTTTCATCAGCAAAGTACTTGAAAAGGTTGTTGAAACCCAACTCAGATCCTGGTTTTCTAAGTCAAAGATCTCTGACCCCTTCCAGTCTGGCTTTCTGAAGCAGCACTCAACTGAGACTGCTCTAGTAAGGGTGCATAATGACCTCCTGATGGCTGCTGATGCAGGGAAATGCTCTGTCATGGTCCTGCTCGACCTCAGTGCAGCTTTTGACGCTGTAGACCACAACGTTCTACTAAACAGGTTAAAGGCTCTGGCTAGGATTTCAGGTTCTGCTCTAGACTGGCTCTCTTCCTATCTCACAAACAGAACATTCACAGTGAAGTCAGAAACCTTCTCTTCAGACACTGCCTCTCTAACATTTGGGGTCCCACAAGGTTCAGTTCTAGGGCCTCTACTTATTCACATTCTATATTCTTCCCCTAGCTGGCATCATTCAGTCTTTCCCAGACATCTCCGACCACATCTACGCTGACGATATTCAGCTCTATATGTCCTTTATGCCACACCAGTTGGACAGGCTGGCCACACTTGTACTCTGCCTGACCCAGATCAGTAACTGGCTGTCCAGCAACTTTCTTGTCCTCAATGCTAACAAGACAGAGACCCTGATCGCTGCACCCCCGGAACTTCAGCCAAAAATCGAGCAAGAAATTGCCTCTTTTTGCCCATCAGCCAAGGCCAACATTAGAAACCTAGGAGTTATTTTTGATCCAGCTTTAAGTTTAGACTCACACGTCAAAACCATCTCCCGCTCTTGTTTCTTCCAACTGAGAAACATTTCAAAAGTCCGTAAACTGGTTTCTACTGCAGATCTGGAAAAAATCATCCATGCCTTTGTGTCATCACGCTTAGACTACTGCAACGCTCTTTTTACTGGTCTCAGCAAAACCTCCCTCTCACGCCTTCAAGCCATCCAAAATGCAGCAGCCAGACTCCTAACCAAATCCAGCAGACGAGCTCACATCACTCCAGGTTTAAAGTCCCTCCACTGGCTCCCGGTAGAATATAGAATACAGTTTAAAGTTTTAGTCCTGACCTATAGAGCTCTTAACAACCAGGCTCCAAGCTACCTATCTGAGCTTTTATCCCCACACACCACCTCTCAGAACCTTAGATCCACATCTGAAAACCTCCTGGCTGTTCCTGGAACCAGACTGAAAACCAAAGGGGACAGGGCCTTTCAGACTATTGCACCCAGACTTTGGAACAGTCTACCTTCAAATCTCCGTCTCTCTAACACTGTAGAGGTCTTTAAAAATCATCTAAAAACTCACCTTTTCATCCAGGCGTTCCCTCCCTAAATGTTTCAGAAAGATGGCTTTGTTCGGGTTCACACCTTCACTTTGTTTATACTCATGATTTAATTTTCTACTTAATCACTGCTATTGTTTTTCTGATGTTTTTATTGGTTAGAGGTATTTGCCCTGATCTTTATCATGTTGTACAGCGCTTTGTGATTTATATCTGAGAAAGGCGCTCTATAAATAAACTTTTCCTTACTTACTGATGAGCTGCTGCACAGGCGACTCAACCACTGAATCAGGTGTGCTGAAGCAGAAAACCCAACAAAACCAGCATGATACCGGCCCTCCAGCACCAGGACTGGGCTCCCTGCTCTACTGTGGAGTTACATTTTAGCGTGCTGAGAGGTGTGAGTACCATTGATAGGAAACCAGTCCATCTCCAGTCAAACCTTCCACTAAAGTCCAGCAGCTCGCTGTACAACATGGGTCCAGGTGAGCGGTGCACCTACTCAGGAAGACACACTTCAATAGGACCTCGTTTTTCTCAGACACGCTCTTGTGAACAGAGCTACTCTTGGTTTAGGGCGGCTGTAGTGAAGAACCACAGCAACATCCAAGTTTCTCAGGTTTAAACTGATGCTGTGATTGACAGCTGATGCTAGCGATGCTAAGCTAACGCACCTCGATGGCTTGGCCGAGCTCCAGGTCGAAGGTAACGACACACACACACTCCAGCCAGGAGCAGAAGCTCGCCCACGCAGGGTCTGCCGTGGCCTCGTGTCGGGGAGAGCCGAAACCGTCAGATGGGTCCATCACGACCGGGTCAGAGCATCAGCCCCGCGACTCGCTGCAGCTTCCTCTCCTCTCCTCCATCAGAAGCGCACCAGAGCGTGCTGCCTCCTGCTGGAGGTCAGAGGAACTACAGCAGGGTGGCTCCGGGACCACACACGGCCTTCGAAGGGGAGCATGGTGCAGCTCGTTAAAACCGACTGGTGGTGACGCAGCTGATCCTTTCCCGGTCTGTTAGAAATATGTTAAAACAAGTTTGACAAGCACTTAAAATTGCACCCACATTTTCTAAGTTAACCCACATCTCTTTTAACACGGGTCATTTTTGCCTCTTTACAGCTTTCTGTTAGTAAATTCATTTACAATGTCATCAAAGTCCAGATTCATGACAAGCTGAGATTCAGTAGCCATCAGTGACAGTGCACTGAGGCGCTGTTGAGTTTGTGGATTTTATTCTTGCCATTTGTGAAAATCGTTCCCCTTCACAATTTGTAACTGGTAGCAGGCGCGTTGCAAGATTTCCAAAAGTGTGGGGGATGTTGTCTGTGTCTAAAATAATTATGTTATTCATCTTCTTAGTTTAATTTCCATAATTCAATTCAATTTTATTTATAAAGCACCAAATTGACAAGAGTCGTCTCAAGGACCTTCACATAATAAACATTCCAATGCAGGTCAGGTCATTAAGCCAATCAGCAACAAGTTTCCTATATGAGGAACCCAGCAGGTTGCATCGAGTCACTGACTAGTGTCAGAGCCTTTACAGCAATCCTCATACTAAGCAAGCATGCAGCGACAGTGGAGAGGAAAACTCCCTTTTAACAGGAAGAAACCTCCAGAGTATCCTGGCTCAGTATAAGCAGCCATCCTCCACGACTCACTGGGGATGGAGAAGACAGAGCACACACACACACGCACACACACACGCACACACGCACACACACACACACACACACACACACACACACACACACACACACACACACACACACGCACGCACACACACACACGCACACACGCACACACACACACACACACACACACACACACACACACACACACACACACACACACACACACACACACACACACACACACACACCAAGTAGTGTTTCTATGGTTAAACTGTGATTTCTTAGTAAATATTGTATTTGGTGAAAGATAAACTTTATTGTATTTATCCTAGTGGATCTATAATTAAACGGGTAAACTCAGAGCCGGATTAACGCAAAGGCAAAGTAGGCACGTGCCTAGGGCCTGATTGGCTGGATGGGGCCCAGACAGAGGAACAAAATTATAAATAAATAAATTAAAAATTAAATGTACAAATGTCCTATGATAGAATTTGTAGCTAGGACTCCAATCTACAATTTGTTTAAATAATTTATCAATTAACTAAAAATAGTGACAATGTTTATCTTAACCATAGACCGTTTCATTGGCTACGTCACACCTCTGGGGTCCACGGACAAGTATACGCGTCTTTTGAACAGGTCTGATTTGGGACGCTGTAGCAGCAAGACTCCGCCTCCCTGAGTTTCGGTTTCAATTCGGCTTTAAAAAGGAGATTATAAACTACACCCCAGTTTTTAAATTTTGTTAATAGGCAACGTAAACGCGGAGTTATACTAAACTAAAAAATGACCTATTTTTAGACAATCTGATAACTTGTCAAAACAGCGGTTTAGTAATCTGTGAGCGGGAATGTGCTTGTGAACATTAAAACCCACAAAAACACGAGATCCTTTTGCTGTTGGTGGAAGTCTCACATATTCAGCTGATAAAAAGTATTATGTAGCTGAGAGAGAGAGGAAGGCTGCACGAGTAACGAGATGTGCGCAAAAAGGAGCCGCTTCGCGGGGAAAGGAGTGGCGCGAACGGAGTAACAACAAACAATTAGACAGATATTGACGGTAAACTTTGTATTTTGGAGCGATCCGGACAGATATATTGTCGCTGCAGTTTAGTAGGCTTTTACTAGGCTTATATAAAGGATGATGAGAAGGATAAATGTCCACCAGGCAGTTCAGATAGTACGGCTGTTTTTAGAACTGGAAGCAGAGGAAGTGGGCGGAGACTCGCAGCCGGAGTCTGAGGCAAATAGCGAGGATGTTGATGACGATGTGGCAGATCCATCCTTCCTCATAGAAGAGTTGGGTCATGATGAGGTAGAGGATGAAGGCAGAGATCCAACAAGAGGAGTGGGCGGCGCCGCGCAGCTGTCAGATCTCGGCGTGAGACGGAGCCACTCTTCTCTCTCCAAAATCCATGTATATTATTGCCAAATTAATAAATAAGTATAAATTCAGATAGTCCAGGCTGTCCTGAAATTAATGATACCCCATAAGGCAATATTTATTGTTTTTATTAGAAAATACAAAAGACAAACCAAAATGAGTCAAAAACGGTGATTTACACTCTGGATCCCAGAGAGCTAATAATTTTTTTAAATTAGTTATTTGCTATATTTAGTCATATTTTTTATAAATGTACAGTCTAGATTACCAGTCTAAATGATAAAAAACATTCGTCATAAATGTTTGTTGGTTTCACAGTAAAATAAACAACTTTTTTCCTATTCAGATTTTATGTTTTTGAGTGATTTAAGGTCTAATATGCAACCCCTTTATGTCCAAATATAAAAAATAAGTATAGATTCATAAAGTCCAGGTTGTGCTGAAAAGATTGATACCACATAAGGCAGTGGTTATGGTTTTTATTTTGGAAATACAAAGGAAAACTGACGGCAAATTACACCCTGGACCCCAGAGGGTTAAGGCGCCACCCAATGAAGGACGTCAGAGAAGCGGTCAGAGTCAGAGCGGGACACAACAAAGCTAGCAGGTGTTTTTGAGTAGGCTAACTTTCACGATGCTTTCGGGTGTGGCAAAACGTAAAAAAAAAATGAAGAGGAACTAAAGAAGAGACAGCGGGGGGCCTTACAGAAGTTTCTGTCGGGCTGCTCGGGCAGCCGTCCGACAGCTGTGAACATGCTCGAGTCAGCAGAGCCAGAGGCCGGGCCCGAGCAAGACCCGGAGGAGACACAACCCGAAGACGCAGTGGAAGATGCGGCGGAAGACGATGTAGCGCCAACGCCGTCAACATCAGCGCCTTCACAGAAGGACAAACTGGAAGAACAGCAGCCAGCCAGAAGTGAGCCCAATATAGTCTTATAGGAGCCTCTAGACCCAGACAGGGTATTAACAACTAGCTACCCATCTGATCCTGCAAAGTGGTACCAAACTGATGAGTACTTTGCACTAAACTATCCCTCTCAAAATATTGGATATTCTTCTGCATCACAGAGGAAATCTGGAGACATAGACTGAAGCTTAACCAAGGAACATTTCTTTAGGCGTGTTTCTGCTGTGACTGAGGCCCTGTGATGCTGGAAGGCTGAAGATTATCCCGGAGTAGAGAATGCTAAATGGTTTCCTTGGTAAGTGTTGCTGGTTTTATTAATTATTTGTCAAATAATTTTATTAATGTTCAAATAGCAAAACAATAAGTTCACACTCAGAAAATTGACACAGAATTTCTGATTCAGCAGAGGCAACAGCCTACAACACATGACTTATTTTGGCATACAAACAACCAATTTGTAACCAAAAACTAGGCTATGTAAAATGTGAATGAACTTTTATAAGTAAATTTTGTAAGTTTCAGATTTCAATTCATTACATAACATCGATGGAGGGGGGGGTGGGGGGGCCCTAAAAATGCAGCCTGCCTAGTGTAGTCCATTTATTTAATCCGGCTCTGGGTAAACTAGTAGTAGCACATCCAACGTCAAAGAAACCAAAAAGTTATTATAAGGAGAGAGAGAATGTTTGTGGTTAGCAGCAGTGTGCTAGACGATGGCCCCCTCCATGAGGCCACCACAGCTCAGCAGAACATCGTTGTAGCTTCTTCTGGGGAGAAAAACACTTAGAGAGAAAATAAAGTTAACAGCTGAAATAGCAGGAAATAATACAGTTAAAGAGCAGACTGTAGAAGAAAGTAGTAGAGTGTGGAAAGTGGTCAGTGTGTCCTCCAGCAGTCTAAGCCTATAGCAGCATAACTACAGAGTTAACTCTGGATAATCTTTCCTATTTAGATGGAGGCATGTTGGAGGCAGGGCAAGGGAGAGTCGTCTTTACCGACTGTACACTCCACCTCCCTGTACTCCCCCACTTGTCCAGATCTAGGCTAACATCAGATTTTAACTATAGGCCCTATCAAATAAAAATGTTTTAAGCCTATTCTTAAAAGTAGACAAGGTGTCTGCCTCACGGACTAAAGCTGGGAGCTGGTTCCACAGGAGAGGAGCCTGATAACTAAAAGATCTGCCTCCCATCCTAAGTTTAGATATTCTGGGAACCACCAGTAGACCTGCAGTCTGAGAGCGAAGTGCTCGGTTAGGAACGCCTGGAACAATCAGTTCACTGATGTATGATGGAGCTTGATTATTAAGAGCTTTATATGTGAGAAGAAGGATCTTAAAATCTATTCTGAATTTAACAGGTAGCCAATGTAGGGAAGCTAAGACAGGAGAGATATGATCTCTCTTTTTAATTCTCATCAGAACTGTAGCTGCAGCATTTTGGACAAGCTGAAGACTTTTAACTACATTCTGTGGACTTCCTGAGAGTAATGGATTACAGTAATCCAGTCTTGATGTAATAAATGCATGAACTAGTTTTTCAGCATCACTCCTGGAAAGGATGCTTCTAATCTTAGCAATATTCCGAAGGTGGAAAAAGGAAATCCTACAAACCTGCTTAACGTGGGATTTGAATGACATGTCCTGGTCAAAGATAACACCAAGGTTCCTTACTTTGTTCTCGGAGATTAATGTAATGCCATTAAGGTCAGGTGATTGGCTAAGCAATTTCCTTTTCTGGATTTCTGGTCCATAGATGAGAACTTCCGTCTTGTCTTGATTTAAAAGCAAAAAGTTTAGAGTCATCCAATGTTTTATTTCCTCAAGACAAGCCTGTAATCTACCCAACCGATTAGGTTCATCAGGGTTAATGGATAAATATAGCTGAGTATCATCAGCATAACAGTGGAAGTTTATCCCATGCTGTCTAATGATTTTACCAATTGGGAGCATATACAGGTGCTGGCCAGT